AGATAAAGAAAAAAAATTTTTAATAAAAATTTCTTTCCTCCTTTTGTTTCAACTTATTGATTGATTCCATACATGCATGTCCCTTTTTTTTTTTTTAATCCATGCATCATCGTTTAAAACGGAAAGATAAAAAATCATAAAATAAAGTGCAACACATAATTCAAAAAAAAATTATTTCAACTCATTACTTCATGTCAAACATGATTTCATTTAATCAAAATTGAATAACTTCGAGACCAATAAATCATCATGTATAACAATCATCAAGTATGATATAAACTTTTCAAAACGTTTATCATGATAAGGCATATAAGCCAAAGAAACTATTAAATATAAAGCATATTCATCAATGATGGTTTCATTGGGCATAAGGCATTTTCAAATAAAATCATTTTGTTATTTGTTGTAGTCATACATTTTTCTTTTTAGGTGAATCTATCTTTTCATGCTTAATTTTTTTAATTTTTCAAAGATGCTAAAAAGAAAAACATGATATAATTTTTGAAAAATAATTTTTTATTTCCTATTCCTACTATCTAAATTAAGCACTCATGAAAAACTTCAAGTAATTTCAAAATAATTCAAGAGAGTTGAGTTACTTACCTTGTAGTCCAGGCTCGTCAAAGCCCAATTCACCGTTTCACCTTTGGAAGTTTTTGATTCGTCTTTGGTTGCATTCCTCTTCTTTGGCCTCTTCCTCCGTTCAAGTTCATTATTTATTTTAGATTTTTGTTTAATAAACTTATTAAGAGTTAGTGTTCGAAGTTCAAGTTCATCATTGTCCTCATCACTTAAGTCATCGCTCAAGTGGTATTCATTTGTCTGGAGTTTCAAATCCTTTCTATTCTTTGGAAGGTGATTTTGTTCATCATGTGCATTGTGCACCATTTCATATGTTATCAACGAACCAATTAGTTCTTCAAGTGAAAAAATATTTAAATCTTTTGTTTCTTGTATTGCGATTATTTTAGGATCCCACCTTTTTGGAAGGGATCTTAAGATCTTGCTTACGAGATCAAAATTCGAAAAATATTTACCAAGAACTCTTAGATTATTGACGACATCCGTGAAATGGGTGTACATGTCGCCTATAGTCTCGCTTGGTTGCATTCGAAAAAGCTCAAAATCATGTAATAAAATGTTAACTTTCGAGTCTTTCACTCTACTAGTTCCCTCATGCGTGATTTCAAGTATTCGCCAAATATCAAAAGCCGTTTCGTATGTAGAAATCCGATTGAACTCATTTTGGTCCAAAGCACAAAATAAGGCATTCATAGCCTTTGCGTTTAAAGAAAAATACTTCTTCTCTAAATCCGACCATTCGTTCATCGGTTTAGAGGGAAGTTTAAAACCGTTTTCAATGATATTCCATAAATCCAAATTCATAGAAATCAAGAAAACTCTCATTCGAGTTTTCCAATAAGTGTAGTCTAATCCGTTAAACAACGGTGGATGAACAACTGATAAACCCTCTTGAAAACCATGAAGAGCCATTTCTCTTGGGTGTAAATCCGAAATGAGAAATACCGGGCTCTGATACCAATTGTTAGGATCGGAGCGACACTAAGAGGGGGGGGTGAATTAGTGCAGCGGATTAAAACTTCGGTTTTGGAAAATTCCTTCGTACGATAAAATAAAAAAAAATCGAACTCAGAAGTTCTTAACTTGAAAGCGTGTTCGTAAAGGTGTGCAACAAAAGTAATGAGGAAGTAAAGCACGTATGAAGGTTTGCAGTAAGGTAAATAGTAATAAGTAAATACAAACCAGAGAACACACCAATTTAAAGTGGTTGGGTCAAAATGACCTACATCCACTTGCGAAGCCTCCTTCGAAGAGGCTTTCAACTTCCACTAGCAAATCACTTTGAAGGGGAAGGACAAATACCCCTCTTACAACCTTTTACAAGTGGTTCACACTCTTTCAAATTTTCAAAGAGAAAGAGGGAGGTGAACACTTAAGCTATTGAAAATAAAAACTTGCTAAAGGCTTTGCTAAGACTTTTATCTCAATCTCTTGCTTCTCAAAGGTTGTTTTCTCTGCTGAGAAATGAGAGGTATTTATAGGCCCCAAGAGGATTCAAATTTGGGCTCCAAATTTTGAATTCTCTTGGGTTTCCGAGGCCGACGGTGCCACCGCCTGTCGGTGGCGGTGCCACCGTCGGACCTCTCGGGTGCTGGGCAGTGCCACCGCTCAGTCTAGCGGTGCCACCGCCTACACTATTTCAACTCACTGGTTGGGCTCTAAACTTGGCCCAAACCAGTCCGAACTCGAGCCCAATTGACCCATACTTGGGTTATAGGATTAACACCTAATCCTAACCCTAATTAACGTGCTAACTATGAATTTAAATATATTTTCTAAGCTATTACAAAATCCGTAAGTCAAGACTTCTTCTGGCGAGCTTCTGGCGAACTTCCGGCGGTCTTCCGATAAACTCTCGGAAACCATTCTGCGGACTCTCGGCAAGCTCCTAGACTTTACGATTTGATCTTGACGAGATCTAACGAGCTTCTTCGGCAAGCTCCGATCTTTCTCGGCGAGCTCCGCGAACTTCCAACGAACCTTCCGGCGAGCTTCCGAAAAACCCTTCGGCAAGCTCCCTACTCATTCTCGGCTAGTTCCGGCAGCATTCCCGACGAACCTTCGGACTTCTGTCGAACTCTCGAACTCGTAACGAATCCTTCGTGCTTGACTCTGACACTTTGTTTTGCTTTATGTCTTCGTCATTATCGTAGTTAATCCTGCACACACAAGCTAAAACTCTACTCCGATTTAGACAATTATTACAACGCAAATTGACATTCTATTGCTTGACACGTCATTGGTTGGAGCTTCATCCGATTCTTCAGCACATCGTCCTCTCTTGCGGCTTGTTGCCCAATCGGCGGTAGACCTCCGCAACCGCGATATCCTTGGCGCAATTCCGCTCTCCGTGGCCCAATGCCCGACGTCTGAAGCCTTCTGCCGTCCAATATCCTGACATGATCTCCTCCGGCGCAACGTCAATTCCTCCTGCGTCAACTGTCTAATCCTGATTGAGTAGACCTGCATCACTCAAAATGCTTTTAAACATCTAAACACAATCAATTTGTTTCATCATAAAAATCCGAGATTCAACAAATTTTAGATGAAGAAACTAAAATTTCAAAAATATAAAAATATAATATCGAATGAATCATCTCTAGGCATAGATAATAAGTATCAACTATTCTCGCTTTCATTTTAAGATGATTTCATGTAATGATAAATAATTCATACTCTTTTAGTTTTTATATTAAAATAAATATCTATTATTAATAAATAAGTTGAAGTGTTAGTATCAATCTACCAAATAATTTATAAGAGGAATTTAAAGGACTTTTGTAATGATTGATTCAAAACATGTAAATGTTAGACTTATATATTTTTCTTTCAAATTAAAGTCTTATAATTTTTTTCGCATGACCTTTCTTGTCATTGAAGTAACATTTTACTATGAATATTTTTTTATAAATTTATATAATATATAAACTCAAGTGATTTTCTTTTCAACTTTTTTTTATTATTATTTGCTTTTCAACTTTTTTTATTATTATTCACTTCTTAAGTTGTATGTCAAATATTATGAATATTTTTTTATTCTAATCTTTTTTTTCTAAAAACATATACTAGTTAACTCATTTAAGTTATACTTATCATTAATTTTATTATAGTAAATTTTAAAAAAATAAAATTAAGAATAAATTAAACGAAAAAAGATTTAACTATATTCATACCTGATATTTTTGACTTTATAACTTTAACAAACGTAATAAGAATATAATCTTGAATTTCTGTATAATAAAATTTCAGTTGATTCTTTAGAATGCTAACTAATGAATTATCAGTAAAAATTCAAATGTAACATATTTGAAGGCTTCATCGAAAAATAGAAAATCAAATGTTCTATCAACGGATTGTGTTTTCAGATGAATTCACAGCGATAAATAATTGAACAGCGGAAGCTTATGAATAGAGCTGCTGTATTACATGTAGCATAGATCTTTTCTTTAAGAATGTCACGGCAACTTTAACATAAGAGTTTTCTCTGCAGACCAGAATGCCCTTTTCATGAATGGATTAAGCTTATGCATGAAGCGAAACAAAATGACCAGTTACCGCCTAACTCTATTAACTTGATTGTCCAGCCAAGAGAAGATGTCATCAAGAACTTGGGATATTATCTCATCAGGCTCACCCTCCATCAGAGCATGATATGAATCCTCGTAAAGGCACAACTTCTTGTCAGTGCAACTAGCTTTCTCATACAAACCCTTGCTTCCTGAAGGATCAGTTATACTGTCAAACTCACCATGGAGTATTAGCAACGGCAGACACACCTGAAATAAGAAATCCAAGAGTTTGCCAGATATTTCAATAAAATTAACACGCACAGTATCAAGTTCAGGTAATGCAAATGATATTATAATCATCAAAAAGGAACTCCTAGCTTCGACCAGGAAATAAGAGTATGATGGTGATGCTAATTAATGCATCTCTCTGTGCTTAAAGTCGCATGTAACTAAGGTTTGAAAAATTCCTACATCAAGTTTTATCACGCTACCATTTTCCTTGTATTGCATGTGGCTACAAGTGTGATTCCCTAATTAGTCATTCAGGGAAGCAAGTTTTACAATTTATAACCAATGGTACAACTTCATCCTAGACCACTTCTTGACCACAGATCAAGAGGTTCATATGCCGTACTCGTTATCTAATCTTCCCACCAAATGTAAACAAAAAATTCCCTTTTTCTTGTTTGTTTGGTGATAACTAACCAGCTTCAAGTTAACATCAGCATTTGATTACTAAGACAAGTTCTTGGATCACTTAAACTGCAACACTATAGCCAGGCAAAATCTAACCTAATTTTCATATTTACTTTGTAACTCTACAAAGCAACAACATGCATAGTAATTATGTCTAACTCAAATTTTGTGGGTAATTAAGACCAGAAAGGCACTGTTGAACCTAATTTTTTGCAAAATATTATCAAAACATGCTATCCTCATCTACGGGTTTAAGCATGCATATGAAAGTCTGTTTGTAATACTCATTATTCAAAACCATAGTAATTAACAAAAGAGAATTAGACGAACAAAGAGCTGATATTGTATGACTTCTACATCACGTTCCAAATAGATTGCAAAACCTAAAAAAGAAATGTTCGATCATGTTCATACTTCTTCTAGTCGTTGCTCAATCTCCCGAGTAGCTTTCACCAGCTCCAGTCCTGTCCTCAGGCGTGTTTTGCCCTTGTATCTAAGCACATTATATGAAATCTGCACCCAAAAGAAGATATATGTATATATTGATTCAACTGACAAACTCAGAAAAAGACAGCCAGCTTGCATATAAGAATCAAGAGAGTTGCAGTTCAAGAACCAGGAAGTGTATTTCACTTGATGTCCAAATGCTTTTCTACTTTATATCAATCAAGAGAAATCCACGGGGTTCGGGCAGTAATTTCTGAATAATCTTCTCAGAGTTGCAGACAGACCTGCTCTAGTTTCTTCCGATCTCTATATGCCAGTTCTCCTAAATCCTTTATAGGAATTATTTTCTTTTCTGGAAGAAGTTTAGCCATGCCAATCAGAAATTGCTTCACAGGCCATGGTGGAATAATATTTTCTGAAATCTACTGAAAATGGCTTCAATTTAGAGAATAAAAAATTATTACATTGAAGGAAATTAGATGTCCATGCCAAATGACTTGCCTTGCACATTGGTGCTACTAAAATTGCACCATCCCATGAATCTGGCTGTTTTAAATGCACCTTCAAAGCAACTGCTCCACCCATTGATTCTCCAAACACAAAGCTTGGTAGTCCATCGTACTCCGGATTTTCTGCATTTCAAACCAAGTACAGAAGATAAGTTGCAAAGTAACTCAATTTTACTAGTTAAGTTTCCAAATACGATACGATAAATCTCCTATTTCATACGACAGTATCAATACTACATCTTTGGAGATTTCTCTCTCTACATACACTGATAAAATCTGGAGATTTCTCGTGGTATGAGTATTTCTGAAAGCACAAAAATCTAATTATGAAACAATATCTCTTTTTGCATTACGTCATGATTAAAAAGCTGGCAAGACTATTCAAAATTAGAACTACAACTCAGACTGTTATAAACACTATACTCTTTCTCAAAAAGATATTTCCCATATTTGAATTTCTAATTGATAGATGTTCATCTTTTAAGAATATGTTAAATCTTAATGAAATGAAATCTTCAATCAAGATTTGTAATCTTCAACTAAAATCAAACTTTGATTTTTTATTTTTCTCCTTGCCCTGTAGTAATCTAAAAAACTAAGGTAGAAATATTAGAAATGTTGTCACATGGCAACATAATGCATTGGCAAAAATACCCCTAAATTAATCACAATCAAAATTATTCAAACAAAAAATAAATTAAAAATGATTCTATATCAGTAAGCCTTAAGATTTTATTTTATAGCACCTATCATTGCACTCTAACTCCTAGGAATGCATTGATTTTCGCCAGTACAATGCTTATTTTCTAAGGAAAACTCTTGACAAAAACACTCGAGAATTATTTCTAAAAACTTAGAACACTCCTGTATCCTGCTTTTCACACAGCAGTGCCATGAACAGTGTGGAGTACGTGGCACAAAGGCACCAGTGTCCTGGAATTAGCACAGCAGTGCAATTGAACAGTATAGAGTAGAACCAAAAGTTACTTACAATCAGGATTATGTGGCACAAAGGCACCAGTAGAGATTGGATTGCCATTTTTATTGATAAAGATAAACAAAGACGACCAATTCCTACATGTCCACACAAGTGAAGCCTAGCAATAGTAGTCTGATGATTGCATACCTGAAGGTTCAACATTCTAAGAAATTCTTAAAATGGCTCGAGCCCTATGGACGATCAAAGACCAAGCCAAATGAATTAGCAGCACAAGAACTAAAACTAACTTGTCTAACATAATTCAAGCGTGCACTGTGATGCAGAAACAAGTAATCTTATGAGGCGCAAGAAAGAAGACATAAGACGGAAGGTAAAAGATTAAGATACAAGAACTGAACTCAATAGTACATATGGCTCTGCCACTGGTCTTTGATGCACTTGAAGAGGCTGGTTCCAGAGACCGAGGCTCCATCTCATCACACAAAATTCTGGAATTCATAATCCAGATAACCAGCAGCATTTGGTTGTTGTCTTAAGCAAAGGCAACAAACATATGGATAACTTTATTTTGAACCGTTTGCGGGGAAAACTAAAGCATGGTTACAGCTCATATATCCTTTTGAATAGAGCTCCAGCAGTTTCCAAAATGTGTCTTTGTAATATTCCAATTAAAAAACTTAAACATTAATTAGATAGATATATTGCTCTCATGTTCCATATCTGGCATTGTTCTTTTCCTTTTTTTCACTTGGGTCTAAGTCGATATGGAATGCATTCAGTAGTTAGAAAAAACACGATACCAGCAATGTGATATTGCATAAACTCATGTTTCTAGAAGGTGTTGCAGTAAATTTACCTTTGATCGAGATATTTCAATTGATTTTACAAAAAAAGAAGCTCTAAAAAATTGCAAATCAGTGCATATTACTGGTGAAAGCGTTCTACCTTTGATTTTGGAGAAATGTTCGACGACATCATCTACAAGGCAATCAAAGTTTGGTATATAACCATGAAGACCTTCTGAGAGACCGAATCCAGGATAATCCATAGCAAAAACTCCATATCCACATGACGCTAGCTTCATAGCAACACCTAAGGCATGCATGTGTACCAATTAAGAGACATGTAGATCTTCATCAGAAACAGGGTATATGAGAAAACTACGAATTTCTGCATACCTTCAAAGAAAAAAGTGCAGGTGTCTCCATATTTGTGACAGAAACAAACAAGAGCCTTAATAGAGGAGTTCTCCGGAAGCCAGCTTTTGGAGAAAATTTCTATACCTCTGGCATTCACCTCATATGACTGTATGTAAGATACTACATTGGTATCCATTTCAAGCAAGAATCTTAAATAGAAGGACTTCTAATTTCTACACACAGTTTTGTGGACCTACCAACATTGCAGGTTTCTAAAATAAGCTGAATGAATCATAGAAAAAAAAATGACTAAATTGAGGATAGTAACCATCAGCAAGTAGGCATTATGATCTAGTTTGGTTTGAATTGCATTAGCAGTTTCTTATAAATATTTTGGAGGCAGTCATCCAATTAGGATTTCTGCTTAATAAGTGTGGGTCAGATAAAAAGAAAAAAAAAAAGGAAACATAGAAGGAGAACATTGGAATTGCATAGAAGCATTTTCTTTTTCTCCAAGAAGAATATCCATAACAGGCTGTCATAAGAATAGCAAATTTGCAATAACCATCCAGACTCCATTTTTAACAGTACTAAATACACGGTAATAAGATCAAATGTTTCACCTCTTTTGTCCTCAGTCCAGTATGATTTGCCTGCAGGTAACGATAGGAAGAAATTACAGTTAATTGTCATTGATGAATCTCGAAGATTTCAGAAGAAGAAAAGCATTTCCAAATTGTCCTAAGAGAATTCAATAAAGAGTCCAAATATTACAAAGCAATAACCTCGTCAATTATATCAAAGGCTCCTCATCACAGACCATGTTCTATACGATCAGAATCTGAAAACACATTTCAGAATCTTACATCAACGATTCGAGTTTGAGCTAATATAACCAGGAAGCAGAGATTGTGGAAGATTCAAATCAGAAAAGGAAAGAAGTAAAAGAACGATCGTTCCATTTTTTAGAAAGGAAGACAAAAAGGAATATCATTCCCCAGGTAGAGGGGGCATGTTAATCAAAAATTACACACCAAGAAGCCAAATTAGAAAGGGGGCATGTTAATCCAAAATTAACTTTTTTTTCTCCCTTTTCTTTGGGTCCATAAGGTTTCCTTGTCCTTTCTTACACAATTTCCACAATCTTATGCTTAAAAATCAATCCATGTCGTCGTACCCTTCACAATCAAACAACCTGACGATTGATGCAGTAATTTTCTAATGCACTGAACCTCAAGAAATTATCAACTAATAGCCATATTCAATGAAACGCATCAGATCTCGATATCAATGACTAGTTACGGGAATCTTGTGGTACTTTTCTTAACAGGGGAGGGCAAAGAACAACAACAACAACATCATCATCATCATCATCGTCCGGCCAATCATACCTTGAAGAGGTAATGATCGATGTTAAGTTGCACGTCCTTGAAGGCCTCGCGGACCTTCCTACGCTCGCGCGCCTGGTCCAGCTTCGTCTCCGACACCATCCTCGCGAGATCCTCGTCCACTCCCTCCCACCTCATCGTTCCTCTTCCTCCTCCTCAACCTCGGTCGATGGCGGAGACAAATGAATCGAAGAGGCCAACGTTAATGCAATACAATGGACAGATGCAACCAAGACGAAAAGTTGAGAGAGACCAAATAGATGACGAGAGGAGGAATCAGTTACCCCTCGTAACGAATTCGAGAAAGGAAACTGGAGTCCCGATTCGTGCCCCCAAAACGACCCCAACAACTTTAACCTTATGTGACAGAGTTAGACTGGGGCCCGCCGAGGGTCTCCGGACTCCCTGCGTGAGAGGAAGAAAATTTGGTGACCAATCGGTGCCCCCCCATAACGAATTCGAGGAAAGGAAACTGGAATTCCCGATTTCGTGCCCCCAGAATGATCCCACCAAAGTTACCCTTACGTGACAGAGGTAGACTGGGGCCCACCGCACACAAGTAAATATGTGGTGTGATCCTCAGATCACTACTCTAAAGTTATATTATTAGATGGCACCTTTAATCTATAATAGCATTATTTAAACATATTATGATTTAATCTTAATCTTCTAAAGTAGAGTATCGGTTGGTCATATAGTTATTGATATACGACCATATTTTTTCCCATCGTACCAACATGTCAGGTACGATCTCGTCTTTCACACGCCTAACGTGTGGGTTCATGTACCACACCATGAGAGATCATGTCACCTTATTAAACCAACCCAAAGAGCGTTTTGTCCTTTTGGTCTTAAAACCTATAAAACGTACGTCAGACCTCAGATGCCATCCTCTCAAGTCCAAGATGAGGACCAGCAACGATGGAGTCAGCGCTCTCTGTCGTCAAGTGGTCTTCAGCAGCACAACGAGGAGTCTACGTTGTATGAGTCGCTTGACGTGACTAGATGATGGATAATAAGGAAAGGTCTCATGCTTTTTCGGTTTCATACGACGTACAGGAGATGTGGAGGGTGACGATTGGTTTGGTCCATGCGCTAAGTTTATGCACCAACACGAACAGGAAGCAGGCAGAGGAGGTGATGCACACACGACATGTGATGCCACGTGGCGATGTTAAACAGTGTGAGGCCCCCACCTGTCTTCTGAAACGGGACGCGTGTTTCCTTCCTTGGCCGAAACAGATGTTCTGCCACCTAAGGACCTGTCCGTTCACGGTAAGGGTCGTTGGGCGGAGTTATTGGTTGATAGGGCGATACACATTGATTTTGATAGAAAAAAAAGTCGACAAATGATCGAAAAATAAAAAATCATTTTTAGAATCTTGTATCCTAATTTATCAGTGTATAAATTATTTCTAAATAAAAATAAAAATATCTAACCATAAATGAATAAAAATTCTAACTTATTTGAAGGAAAATTTGAATTTATATTTTCAATACGATCAAATTTTAGCTGTAACCGACCCACGATCGTACGTATATTGTACCGATCGATACCCACCAAGTCATATTTCACCATACTGCTTGAAACAGATTAATCTTCATACCGATTGCTGGGACCATTATGTATCATCCATTTTATAGTGTTTCGGATGGTACAGTATATCATATGTATTAATCGATACATATGGTACATCAAACCAACCATTTCGTACTATTTTCGGATGGTACGTTGGTGCCACACATGAAACCTTTTTTTTTTTTTCTGTGAGGCAAAGTAGTAACCTCAAAAAAGCTCGTCTAACATTAACATACCTTACAATGACAATATTAACTTCCAATACTGACAGGGTCTTCTCTGAAGATTTATCGGATGATATCTTTTATTGTACATACAGTCGTAGATACACATTACATTGATAAAGTAATCAGAGAATAGACTTCTCTTGATCCTTTTAAGCTTATCTTGCTTGCTGAAGTTCAACCAGCAAATAACAGTCTGCCTAATTGCACTGGCTGAAATTGCCAGATTGGTGAGGCAGTTTGACCTTCACAAGCTCAGCAGCAGTGCGTGCAGCGGCAGATGCACGATCAGCCGAAGCAATAGCAGCTCGTGCTTTCTCCAAGACATCAGATGAACTTCTTGAACATGATCTGTGGTTAACAGATGGTGCTTCGGTTTCACTAGTTGCTGCATCTTCTTTGTCAGCAACAGTTGAAGAAGTTTTGTTCGTGAGCAAGGAAGGGCTATTAATCGAAGGGGTAGGAGATTGTGGCAGTTGATCTGGCTTCCCTTTATCAGATGAAACAAATACTCCATCCCTGGGTGAAGGATTAGTGGAGCTCTCAATTACAGGTGCCTGCAACTCCATATGATTCAACCCATCCTACATTTGCAGATGATATGTTAATAACCAGAGGAGATGGTTACAAGAAGAGAGTAAAATAGGATAAAAGCATAACATTGATAGTCACGTATACATGAGACACTGCAGTATATGGCCTGTTTTATGCTACAATTTAAGTGCTTTGACAAACATATTACTAATTGAAATTAGTATACATTACACTGCAAACTGAAATTGAATGCTGCTGTAATAACATTAAGAAAATAGTTCAAAAGGTAAAAAAGGGCTGCTAGCTTATGGTATGAAAGATTTAAATGAGGTCCTCATTGTCACGAACGATCGTCGCGTACTCGCAACAACTTCGTTCAACGAACCGTTCGTCGTTTTTGCATGTTTGAATAGAGACATGGCAGCCTGTTTTGTCTTGATTTTGTGTGTTTTGCTAGTAAAAATACATGTTCGAACAGGTTGCAGCGTTGTAGTGCGGCCGCTCGCCGCGCTGGGCCAAAAAGCCCCAAAATGGCTCCGTTTTCGCGTGCCGTGGTGTCACGGACAAACTTCTCAACAAGATGTTGGATGTAATGCTTATGTGTGTCCGTGTCTTTTGGCATGTTCATGCCCTGTACAGAATGTAAAGGGGCGGCCGAAGGCTTATAAGTCCCATTTTAGTTGGGTGGTGGCCTCTTTAGGCTTGTAAATAAAGGTTGTGTCATGTGGACACGTGTGAGAACTTTTCGGTCTGTAATGGACCATTTTACCCTTTGTTGTGCCACTGTTCAGAGCTTGTAAAGTCTGTTTGTAATTTGCATTGTCTATGAAGTGTTTTTCGGACATGTTTGCTTGTGGATCCCGTTTGAGGCGTTCTCTCTAACCCGTTCTCTCTTTTGATGGTCCTAAGGGACAATGGGAGGCTTCGGGGAGGCTGACCTTTGCGGATGGACACGCAAGGGTGCCGCACGACTTAGGCAAAACCAGCTAAGTCCGTGTCAGTGGGCTGTTTTCTACAGCCCACTACAGCGCCCAAAACGTCAACCATCTCAGTACCTTGGAACCGCCCGGGTGGCACAGGGCTGGATGGGGCTTCGGTATATTGTCAAGCGTTGAAAAATATTCACAAGTTCGCACGTTGACTTGACGGGAACTTACCTTCGTGCTCGGCACCCGATGAGCAGTTGTTTGTGGACTTGCAACTATTCGTTCTACCTTCTAAAGTCTTTGTTTTCCTCCTTCCTCTCTTTTCTCCTATACACACAAGGTGCTTGCTGAATTGCTTATAAAGCTTCCCTCTTTGCGAGACGTTAGGACTTGTCCGTCGCTCATTTTCAATCTAATCAACTTTCTGTTTTACATATCCTTCGGGACCTGTACGAGGTTGCAACTAAGCTAAACCTTTGCGGACGCATATGTCGCAAGGACGGCTCAAGACTTAGGCAATCCCAGCTAAGTCCGAGGTGCAAGGGTGCGTCGCCACTTAGGCAACTCAAGCTAAGTTCGCGTCTTGGCCGCAAGGGTGACTCACGACTTAGGCAATTCCAGCTAAGTCCGTGACATTATGGTATTAGAGCGGGCAAGCAATTCGAGCAAGCAGCGAAGGAACTTTACAATTTCGCCATGGCAAAGCATCGTGACAAATCAAGCAAGGCGGGGCAAGCTGGACTTTTGCCCCAAGTAGCCGTAGGTGGGCTGCAACTGCAAACTCGCTCTCATGTCGTTGGAGCTGCTTTGGAGGATTGTGGTAGCGAACATGATGAGCGAGAAATTGGCTATTCTCCGCGAGCGGAGGAGGCGTAATCTGGAGCGCCAACCGGGAAGAAGAGCCACAAGGAGAGACTCACAGCGGCGGAAACCCGCTTGGATGTTCTTGAAGTGAGCTTGGAGGAACTCTACCAAGGCCAACGAAGGTTTCTTGGGGTAGAGAGCTCATAAGAAGAAGCTGAATCCCAAATCGACAAGGTCGAGGCCCTAGTCAATCGACTATCGGACGACACTAAAGACTCCGTGCAACATCTGTAGGAAGTCGTGGCAGAACTCACTTCCAGTATGACCATGCTCACAAGGGCACTGAATGCGGGAGGAAGCAACACCCCCGTTGTGCCGCCACAAAACTTGAGGGCACCCGAGCCGAATTGTTATAGAGGTGCCCGAGATGCTAAAGAGCTCGAGAATTTCTTGTTCGACACAGAACAATACTTTTGAGCTACGAGGCTTGATTCTGAAGAAACCAAAGTTTCGATAGCAATCATGTATTTGAATGGGGATGCAAAACTTTGGTGACGAACCCATTGGGAGGAGATCCAACAAGGTCGGTGTCGGGTGGACATATGGGAGGACTTAAAGCGAGAGTTGAGAACTCAATTTCTATCTGAGAACACAGAGTTCGTCGCAAGGAGAAAGTTAAGACAACTTCGCCAAAGTACTTCCATCCGAGACTACGTGAAGCAATTTTCTGCGCTAATGCTGGACATACAGGATATGTCCGAGAAGAATAAGCTATTCAGCTTCTCGATAGTTTGAAACCATGGGCTCAACAAGAACTACATCGAAGGAATGTCACTGATGTGATCGGGACAATTGCTGCCGCAGAAAGGCTCACCAACTTTGTTTCCTTTGAGGACCCGGGAAAAAGGAAACTATCTTCAGGAAATCGCCCTCCAAAATATTCTCGAGGGAAGGAGCCCGGAGGCGAACAAAGGAAGAAGAGTTCCCACAAAGGGCCAAGCTCAAAAGACAAGGCCCCGAAACCTGGCGGATGCTTCTTGTGCAGAGGGCCACACATGGTGAGGGAGTGCCCACAAAAACATGCGCTCAATGCTTTAACAGCTTTCATCCATCCCCGCCAAATCAGACAAGGGCAAGACTGTCGCTCTTAGTTCGAGTAGTTCAGAATCCAGCAATGACGATGAGGAGTCGCAAGGACCCCGAATGGGGGCAATGCGTTTGTTGAACACTATGCGGGGTCAAGTGGGGGAGAACATGAAGACAAGACCACAAAAAGCAAGAAGTAACGAGTTGATATACATAGACATTAAGCTCAATGGCCAAACGACCCGTGCAATGGTGGACACGAGCGCTACCCACAACTTTATTGTCGATTGAGAAGCAAAACGACTTGGGCTGATCTTGGAGAAGAACCCAAGTCGAATAAAGGCGGTGAACTTGGAGGCCAAGCGAATCTCCGGGTTGATAAAGTAAGTTCCCCTCAAGATCGGAACATGGAGCGGGAGCACAAACATGATAGCGGTGCCACTGGACGACTTCCAAGTGATTCTTGGAATGCAATTCATGCACACGGCGAAGTTGGTGCCAATGTCATTCCTAAACTCTCTATGTATGATGGGAGGTGACGACCCCCGTGTGGTTCCCGTCTCTCAGAGAGGAACCAGGGAACCCCAACAGATATCGGCATTACAACTGAAGAAAGGGATACGAAAAGGTGAATTAACATTCATGGCTGCTATAAAGCTAGAGCCACTCGACAAGAGGGCCATTCATGAACCTATTGTCGTGGCGAATGTCTTGAAGGAGTTCGCAGATGTTATGTCACCCGAGTTGCCGAAGACTCTGCTGCCACGCAGAGGCGTGGATCATCACATCGAGCTGGAGCCAAGAGTGAAGCCTCCAGTGAGACCACCCTACCGTATACCCCCTCCAAAGTTGGCATAGCTCAGAAAGCAGTTAGGTGAACTGCTAAGCGGTGGTCTCATCCGTAGTTCTAAGGCACCCTTCGGAGCTTCAGTTCTCTTACAAAAGAAACAAGATGAGAGCCTCCGACTATGCATCAATTATCAAGCCCTAACAAAGTAACGGTGAAGAAAAAGTATCCAATCTCGCTCATTGAGGACTTGTTCGACCAATTAGGCAAAGCCAAGTATTTCTCTAAACTTGACCTCCAATCGGGGTACTGACAGGTGCGCATTGCTGAAGGCGACGAAGCAAAGACTATCCGCGTGACTAGGTATGGAGCGTTTGAATTCTTGGTGATGCCTTTCGGCTTAACCAACACTCCAGTCACGTTTTGCACTCTTATGAACCAACTATTCAATGAGTATTTGGATAAGTTCGTGGTTGTCTACTTGGACAATATCATCGTCTACAGCCAAACGCTCGAGGAGCATATGGAGCACCTTCGAACGATTTTCAAGGTTCTCAGGGAGAACACTTTGTTCGTGAAAAGGGAAAAGTGCTACTTTGCTCAAACAGATATCTTATTCTTGGGGCATCGAATCGGTGATGGTTCCATTTGGATGGATAAATCGAAGGTGCAAGCTGTTGCGAAATGGCGAACTCCAAAGAAGGTACCAGGGCTGAGATCCTTCCTTGGTTTCGTCAACTATTATCGACGCTTCATAGCAAGGTACTCAAAGCGTGGAACTCCACTGACGGAGTTGCTTAAGAAGGAGCAGCGTTGGAGGTGGCCTAATAAATGTGAAGCTGCGTTCCAAGATATGAAGGTTGCTGTGTTGGAAGAATCGGTGCTCAAATTGCCGAACTATGGGGAGCCCTTCGAAGTCCATACAGATGCTTCAGACTTCGTTATTGGGGGAGTACTCATGCAGGAGGGTCATCCGGTGGCCTACGAGAGCCGCAAGCTCAACGAGACCGAGCGGCGGTATCCAGTGCACGAGAAAGAGATGACAGTGGTGGTCCACTGTCTACGAGTTTGGCGACACTATCTTCTTGGATCGCGATTTGTGCTGAGGACAGACAACATCGCTTTGAGCTATTTCCAAACTCAGAAGAAACTCTCCCCAAAGCAAGCATGATAACAGGACTTCTTGACTGAGTTTGATATGGCAATGGAGTACAAGCCCGGAAAGGCAAATATCGTGACCGATGCATTAAGTCGGAAAGTGGAGCGTGTGAATGTCGTACAATTGGAGGACAAAGGCCAAGCAAGTCAATTGCACTCCAACTTCCTTTCCAAGATCAGGGATGGACTGTATAGTGATACCCAAGCAATAACCCTGATGCAGCTCATCAAAGAAGGCAAGGCATGATGATTTTGGATCCAGGAGGGACTCGTTTACACAAAAGGGAATAGGGTTTATGTCCCTTGAATGGACAAATTGAGGCGTGAGCTCTTAAAAGAGTGTCACGATTCCCTGTGGGCTAGACATCCAAGCATTCACAAAACCTTGGCTCTCGTGGAGAGGGCCTTCTACTAGCCAAAGATGGGTACTGATGTAGAGGAATATATTCGAACGTGCCTCGCTTGCCAACAAGATAAGTTGGAGCAGCGGAAGTCGGTGGGACTTTTGGAGTCGTTGCCCATACCAGAAAGGCCGTGGGAGAGCATTTCCTTGGATTTCATATCAAGCTTGCCGACGGTAGGGGGACTCAGATCGATACTCGTGGTGGTCAATCGATTTTCAAAGTATGCAGCTTTCATTGCTGCACCTCTACACTGTTCAGCAGAAGAGGCGGCCAAGCTGATGATGAAGAATATGGTGAAGTATTGGGGAAACCCGCATAATATTATCAGTGATCGAGACGCTCGGTTCCTGGGACAATTCTAGACCGAGCTATTCAAATTGTTGGGGTCTAAGCTATACTTCTCCATAAGCCTCCACTCCAAACGGATGGCCAAACCGAAAGGATAAACTTGCTCCTGGAGCAGTATCTTCGGCACTACGTGAGTGCCAACCAACGAGATTGGGTGAAGCTATTGGACATAGACCAATTCTCCTACAACTTGCAACGGAGCTCTGTGTCCAACAAGAGCCCCTTCGAGATCATTACAGGACAACAACCGTCGACTTCTCATACCTTAGCTATCGGATATACTGAGAGTAGTTCGTCAGCATATCGCTTTGCAAAAGAATGACACTGAAATGCAAATATTGCGCCGGCTTACTCGGAGAAGGCGGCCAAAAAGATGAAGAAGTGGGCCAACTTGGGAAGGCGACCGCAGGAGTTCAAAGTCGGCGATTTGGTGTTTGGTGAAGCTCCAACCAGCATTACTCCAATTCTTTAGGAACAAAATACACAAAGGATTAGTGCGTAAGTATGAAGGGTCTTTCCTAATTATCAGTAGGGTGGGTAACGTCTACTACAGGTTACAGCTGCTGGCATGGCTCAAAATTCACAATGTTTTTTACGCCAGCAACTTGAAAGCCTACCACTCAGATCCGCAAAATGCTTCTCGAAGTGTTCCAACTCGGCTATCCCCCACCAGAGCCTTATACGAAAAGCAAGTTGAAACCATTCTGGCAGATCGTAAGATAAAGCTACCCAATGGAGCTAAGCAGACCGAGTGCTTGGTGAAGTGGCGAAAGCTTCCCCGAACTGAAGCCAGTTGGGAGCCCGAAGATACCCTATGACATGAAGAAGCAATCATCAACAACTACCAACAAGCGTTAACGAGGGCGTCGACAGTTTAAGTGGGGGAGAATGTCACGAACGGTCGTCGCACACTCGCAACAACTTCGTTCAACGAACCGTTTGTCGCTTTTGCATGCTTGAACAACCTATTTTGCCTTGGTTTTGTGTGTTTTGCTTGTAAAAATACATGTTCGAACAGGTTGCAGCGCTGCAGTGCGACCGCTCACCGCGCCAGGCCAAAAAGCCCCAAAATGGCTCTGTTTTCACGTGTCGCGGGCTGTTTTCTGCAGCCCACTACAGCGCCTAAAACGTCAACCATCTCAGCACCCTGGAACCCCTCGGGTGGCACAGGGCTGGATGGGGCTTCGGAATATTGTCAGGCGTTGAAAAATCTTCACAAGTTCGTACGTTGACTTGACGGGAACTTACCTTCGTGCTCGGCACCCGATGAGCAGTTGTTTGTGGACTTGCAACTATTCGTTCTACCTTCTAAAGTCTTTGTTTTCCTCCTTCCTCTCTTTTCTCCTGTGCACACAAGGTGCTTGCTGAATTGCTTATAAAGCTTACCTCTTTGTGAGACGTTAGGACTTGTCCGTCGCTCATTTTCAATCTAATCAACTTTCTGTTTTACAGATCCTTCAGGACCTGTACGAGGTTGCAACTAAGCTAAACCTTTGCGGACGCATATGTCACAAGGACGCCTCAAGACTTAGGCAATCCCAGCTAAGTCCGAGAAGTTGGCGCAAGGGTGCGTAGCGACTTAGGCAACTCAAGCTAAGTTCGCGTCTTGGCCGCAAGGGTGCCTCATGACTTAGGCAATTCCAGCTAAGTCCGTGACATTGACAAATTATTATCAAGTGACCTTAGCTAATAGCTTGACTATCTTAAACATTACATCTATGATATGCACTGTCCAAAAGAGTACAGAATTGTGAATTGACGAATAAATAAAATAGACAGTTATAATGTGGTGTATAAATCTATAGAAACTCTCCATTTTCAAAGATTTTGCAAGAGAATGGATTCAAAACATACCACTTATTAATAAAGTAAAATCTTTTTCTTTTCTTTTCTAGTTGTGCAAGTTGTCCAACAGTTTTTTCCCTAATTTGAGCCTGTGTCCTCCATTCTTCTTAGCCACAGCTCACACGAGCTTGGATTCAGAGCTTTAATGTCACCCTCACTGCCACCATCACCGTCACTGCTGTTGTTGTGTTTGATTACTAGAAAAGATGGGAGATCGTTTCACCTTCACTAGCAAACATGTCCTCTAAATATACTGATGTTTTGGTACAACAGACCAAAATAAGAGCTGATGTGAACCAGGATATGGTAATTTCCAAATAAAAAACTGTTTGGCAGCCTAGTCAGGGTTGGAAGAGTTCCAAGTTTTAGAAGCAGCAATCACAACTTCAAAAAGCACCTTGATCCACAATACATAGATGATTTATGCAGATAATAAATAAAACATCAAAAACAACTAGTGTAAAGGCTTTACCAGCAAGTCTTCATGTTTTTTATTTAATTCTGATTCAGTGTCTGATGAGTCCCACTCTAGATTGTACTCTTGTGCAATTGCTTTTAAAACCTTTACCTTTAACTCTGCAGGTGGAGCTGTCACTGTAAGCTTCTCAATAATCTGTAGAAGTTACTGCAGAAGGTCGATTATTAAGTCAGCAACAAGCACCAGATAAAATGTGTTTCTTACCATGCGATTGACATTGCTTTCTGGCCGCAACTCAGATGCTGCTGCAGCAAACTCCTTACCATATTTTGTGAAAAATAAGTTTCGGATATGGAGCAACTCTGGCAAATCAGAACATCTTGGAGAAGCAAAGATGATACTGGCAACAGCCTCCTGCAATTCTACTGGGCAAGCCCTATTAAATGGATATAACAACTATACATTAAATGCCAAACAATTCTGACCCTGATATTACAAGTACAGCAACAACATTAAGTACAGGAATCTTCAACTTAGTAAAGGACTTCGGATAAGTATAAATTTAGATTGCAAGCATAACTTATTGTTGAAGATAAACTTCAAGGTGAAATTGAATGAATAAAGAGAATACAGATCCTTGTATCCTCTTCTATAGCCTATGTTCCATGGAGGTGTTATTATTTGTACTACCAACTGTAACAGTACAGATTAGAGGTTTCAGATAGTATGACTCCATTTGGCTGAGGCTAGTAATCCAACAAATAGATATCCAACACATGGCTTTGCAAAAGTCATGATCCTTTATACCTTGAAAGAGTTAGTCTGTGTCTTTCACCATTAAGGTGGTTGTACCAGAGGCCAGCAACATCTAATGCCAGGTATTCATCATTGAACACTTAGCAGATCTCATCAGTTCGTTCAATGGCTCACAATTGAGGCAACAGCTGGCAGTGGCAAGGCAATTTCTGACATGTCATGCCATGACTGCTGCTCGGAGGGTCCAACCAGGACTTTTTGTCTTTTTGATGTTCCTTGCCAAGCTACCCTAAAAGTGAACCCTTCTATCTTTCGTTAAACTAATGTACCTTACAATTAACTTCTATATATATGTAGCTTAGATTTTGAAAACACAATAACTTCTCTGCGATCTCTTCTACGAAGTTGAATGAACTCATCCTAGGACCATGATAGATCACACTGAAAATTTGCAGTAAAAGAATGACAGCAAGAATGATTTGTGTATAAAGTCAAAGAAAGACTGATCTCTCTAAATAAGAACTGAGTAATAAAACATATTGTTTTCACAAATTGTTCCTTTATTGCCATCCAAGCTTATGTGCCTCTAAATTCAAGCAGCTGCTTCCATTTACCTAACTCTATTGCTACTTAAGCCCTCAACTGATGCTAAATCATGGACAATTTTAATATTTCACTGGGTGTGTAGAAAAGACTCACTTAAACCTTATGTTTGTTATCAAATTATTTTTTTATTATGTTTGTTATCTAATCTTGAAGTCAGAAGATTTAGTAAGTAAATACTATAGCAGATAGAATTGTTTTATATTATTTCAATCTGATGCTATACAAGCACATAACATCAGCTCAAAATCAGTAGTCTTAGGCTATAAACCTTCAATATGTTTAATTTCAATCATTGAAGTCCTGGACTGAACTGAAGCAGTTCGAATGTAAGGACAGTGATGATAGTCAGAAGATAAAAAGAAAAAGAGAGAAAGTGAGACATGTTTAATTTCTAGTTTCTATTTCTCTTTTTCTAATTTCTACTTAGGGAGTTAAATTTTGTTTGTCATTGTTCATTGGGAATGCAGTGTCGTCAGCTGCTGTCTGAAAAAAGAAAAAAAAAGTCATTCCTCTTGCTTCATCTCTTAATATACAGTAATGAATTTCTGATTTTGCAATTCCATTTCTCTAGCATACAACATCATCAAACATTTACATGCCTCAACAAGGAAAGGAGGACCAATCATGTGTTCACCAGCTTTATTAATCAAAGAAACTTGAGTTCCTTGCTCTTTCTTCCTTTCTGTTCTGTTCCTTCTTTTTATATTTTTTGTTCATTGGCACAACTGCATCAAAGGTGTCATTGCCTAATCGGTGAATGGCACCGACTGTGCCAGCCACAACAGATATATTGTGAGAAGGCTTTCCTTGGTGCAGACAACAACCCATTTTCCTAACATTCCATAACAGCATGGAGTGTGCATCGTATCAAACCATTAGAATCAAATTATAAACACACTGGATTCACTTAACCTATCAGTGGATGTTTCTTTTGTAAAATATACTGTTATATTCAAAATTCAAAATGAATAAGAATACTGAACTTTTCTTATATCGAATTGCCATTTTAAAAAGTTTTTTTTATTAGCATCAAATCTGAGACATCCATTCTGGTACTCCAAGGCTGTGGAGACTCCCTATATGTGGTGGATGTGGAAGAGAGATCATACATAAAGGAGATGTTCTATATGGTTGTGTTTCACCGGACAATAAGGTAACGGACATCAACCAATGTAAATAACATTTTCAGCTTCATGTTCAGCTGTATTATATTTAAAAACCATCATATGAGCAAAATCAACTAACCCAAGGTGTCTGTAGATGGATTATTGATTAGAAACGAGGTAACTGCCAGTTTAATTTATCCTATCTTCCCCTTCATTATTTGGCATCCTACTTGGGGATGAACAATACTACTTCAAAACAAGCATAATGCAACATTCAGCAACAGTGATAAATGAACTTTCTGCTAAGAGAAGAAAGATTATGACACTAAGCCTTTGTCTTCTTCTCTATGTATCCCTAGTTCAATAAATAATCATGAAACCATAAAAGCAAGCAAGGTTATAAGAATAGTTTGTCCAAAAAAGTAAGAAAATAATAGAAGGGTATAAATGAAATAGCATAAAATAACAAACCTCTGGGTTTCGAGAATCAGAACACGTGCAAGAACAAATTCACAGAATAGTTCTATAATCTCATAGGCAGCCAGGATATTTTGTTCACGGATGATATTCTCCACCTAAGGATTAACCATAACTAACCATAACTGACAGAACAAAGATAGCTAATTAAGTAGAGAGTCAACAATGTAGTTTAGTTAATGTCAATTATACACTTACTCTAATTCGAGCAATGGCTTCCTGACCAGTCTGAATATACTGAGATATTTCCTTGCGCATATGTTTGAGCTGCAACTCTCTCTTATTTCGAAGTAATTTAATTCGTGATATAGCCAGATTCAAGCAGGTCTTGCTGGACATATACGGACATAGCCATGACAACAAGTTCAGTAAATGTCCCTCCTTTAGAACACATCATATCCATTTGCAAACATAACCAACAAAAAGCACCAAAAGAAGATAGAAAGTTTAATTACAAGTGAACCAAATAATTCTGCAACCAACAAAAGCTCCCAATGAACAGAGCCAGTATCATTACAAGTGAACCAAATAATTTTGCTACAAACCTATAGATCTAGGAGACAAATGATTACGTATGGGGTGCTGACCGATCCCAAAAACTGTATGTCAGATCACATTTCTAGATTGTGACAGATTTATTAGTCACGAAACGATTTAGTGATGGTTCAGGGTTAAGATTAACTTGACTCTATAAAGGCAACCTGAGTATGCAGAATCAAAGAACTCTACATTCTACGTTGTTTAATAGAAGGCATATCTTCAACTTATGGCATTCGAGATTAACTTCTCAAGTTTTTTTCAATTTCTGAACTGTTTTTGTGATATGATTAGGGTCCATATTGTTAGAATTAGTTTAGGCCTAGTTCTAGTCCAAGTCTATATGCTATATTGGTAGATGTACAGTATAATTCCTGGTGGTACAGTCTTAGTTTAATATGTTTTGCAAAAATGGAGAAAAGGTTTCCATGGCTATTAGGAGTCGGTACTAAGTCTGTCAGGTGGAAGTAACTTTATTCTGCTTAGTCATGTTCCCTACATAGTCTTTTAGCACCAATGCTGAATTCTTTCTTCTAATTCTATTCACAATAAGGCAATAAGTGAAGCCTCACAAACATTGGGGAATTTATTCTGAGGAGTATTCATGTTCCCCACTGGCCAACCTGCCTTGCAATTGGACGCAGTAAGTGAACTACAAGCCAGTACCACATGGGTCCCATTTGACCCACCAGGATGGACCCATCCCTGCCATTCCCATATTCTTGTGGTTCAGATTCATCAAGTTAGAGCTAAAGTATTCCCAAGTTGTTTAATTATTTTCTTTTTATCCCACTAAGCAAAAGGATTAATTAGATGCATCTCTATCTTCAAAATTGGAATTTAAATACATTGTACTCTTTTTCATCCTCAATTATAAGATTTGATTGAAGGCATTGGATAGCTTAATTGAAAAAGACTTTGACAGATTATTATAAATCTATTTGTGCTTGAATCCTTTCTTCATCGCAAATCAAAATTTTTATTAGGAATATCCGCAAAACATGTAACAGAAATTTACATTAATAATCTTCATAAATTACTCACATAGGATAAGGAGAATATTGACTGCAGACATTGTATTTACTTATTGATTAATTTTGATCAAGGACTGTGCAAAACCTTTCATCGACGTAATTGGGGATGGTGGAATTGGGTCCATTAATTTTATTGCATGATGTAATTGCTTGCTTCAACTTGTCTAAGGCATGTTCTCAGCCACTATGGCAACATCTCCTCCTTCACAGTGTCGTACCCCCACTCACCATGAGTCCACTGCTGCCTCACTCCGTGTAAAAGATGGATGAAAGCTCAAGATCACAACCCCACCAAAAGATGAGGGTTCCTCCATCTTCCTCTCTACCAATGATGTAACCTGCTTTTTATTTTTATCTCAGTAAGAAGAAACCATCACCACATGCCCACTTGGTTGTGATTGATTCTCTACAACCCAGAGAAGAACAGAGACCCTAGCTGAAGAAACTATCTATCTTGCAGTAGTCCGGCCCCCCTGTTCTACTCTGTTCTTGGTTGTTCTGCAATCCAATGGGCAGTAGGAGAAGGGAAGAAAAACCAGCATAAATCTGAAAACAGAGGGCTGGCAGATTGTGGGTGGGAACTATCTGCAACTGCAAGCTTTGTGCTGAAGCTGCTGCCAACTTAGTGGATGCAATTAGGGGACTGAGGGGAGATGCCGCAGTGTGGATACCTCACCTTAAGTGATGATTGGTAATCTTATTTAATATATTTTATTAGATGAATTCTGGAAAAAGGTATTCTATTTGCTTGGGAAGTGTTTTTTATTTTTAGAATTTTCTAAAAAAAATTTCCTAATGCTTAAAATATCCTTTTTCCTCTTTTTTCTTTCCTTATTCTATGGACCTGTTCAGACTGTATTATAGTATTTTCAATAATATTAAGAAAACACTATAATGTAATATAATATAATACTTGTGAATAAATTTTATAAATACTGTGATACAATGTTTATAATGTATTTATATTATGTTATAGTAATTTCAATTTTCAACAATACCAGAAGTACAAAAAACATTATGACACTATGGTGTTTTCTTACTATTATTGAAAATACTGTAGTATATTGTAAAAATATTATAATTAGACCAATTCACCATATGAATCGGTTCATAGAAAAAGAAAAAGGGGTAGATGTCTATGGTATTCCAGATATCAGGCAAAAAAAAAAAAAATCGATGTTGTTAGAGAATTATGAAAATAGGAGTACTTTCTAAAAAAATCTAAAAAGAATATTTTTAAAAAGTACACAGCCAACAATATGAAAATAGGAATGATATAGCCAGATTCAAACAGGTCTTGCTGCACATAGTCAGACATAGCCATGACAACAAGTTCAGTAAATGTTCCTCCTATAGAACACAAAATATCCATTTGCAAACATAGCCAACAAAAAGCACCCAAAGAAGATAGAAATTTTAATTATAAGTGAACCAAATAATTATGCAACCAACAAAAGCTGCCAACGAACAGAGCAAGTGTCATCACAAGTGAACCAAATAATTTTGCTACAAACCTATAGATCTAGGAGACAAATGATTATGTATGGGGTGCTGACCAATCCCAAACACCGCAAGTCAGATCACATTTCTAGATTGGACAAATTTATTAGTCACGAAACAAATTTAGTGATGGTTCAGGGTTAAGATTTGATTTGACTCTATGAAGGCAACCTGAGTATGCAGAATCAAAGTACTCTACGCCCTACATTGTTTAATAGAAGGCTTATCTTCAACTTATGGCATTTGAGATTGACTTAATTCTCAACATTTTCAATTTCTGAACTGTTCATGTGATATGATCAGGGTCCATATTGTTAGAATTAGTTTAGGCCTAGTTCTAGTCCAAGTCTATACACTATATTGGTAGATGTATAATATAATTCCTGGTGGTACAGCCTTAGTTTAATATGTTTTGCAAAAATGGAGAGAAGGTTTCAAGGCTATTAGGAGTCAGTACTAAGTCTGTCAGGTGGAAGTAATTTTATTCTGCTTGGTCATGTTCCCTACGTAGTCTTTTAGCACCAACGTTGCAATTCTTTCTTCTAATTCTAATCACATTAAGGCAATAAGTGAAGCCTCACAAACATCAACATGTTTTTCTGCAAAAAATTCCAAGAACATGAGATAAGAATGACCCGCAAATGTAATTGCAAGTTCTTCAAACTAGTTAAAAGTATCAGTCATGGGAGTTCCAAGAAGCACAAATTAGGTGCCAAGTTTTCCTAATCAATTGTCGTAAACAAATTGATTAAAACAGAAAATTCCAATCTAATTTGCCACGATCAATAATGCAACCAGATCCAGAACAGCCATCTTTCCCTGGTCATAAGGGAGAGAGGCTACCAACAAAACCAAGAAAGAAAAAGACGAGAGAAGGGAATACAGGAATATGAATCTAGGAAAACGAACCATCTCGTCCCGAAGGAGGCTCGATTGAAGATGGAATTCAAGGTGGACATCTCCGCACGAGAAAGACCAACCCATCCAGATCTTCAAACCCTAGAAATCAACCAGATCAGCAGCACACAGTAAAGCATCAATGGCCCTTTCCTCTCCGAACAGATGTCATCAATTCGATTAGTACCGGTGTCTGCCTGCGTTAACGGAGTTACCGGGGTTAATTGGTTTCCTTAAGATTCGTGCTACGAGTAATGGACAAAGATCTCGGACTCGGTTTTATGTAGGCGATGAGTCGAACCCTATTGAATGGGTCGGGCTAGGAGTTGTTGATCCAGGTGCATATTAGAACAAAGCTCGTGGTTCATTACCAACTCAACCCACCGGCCCAAACCGGTCCAAATCATCAATAAATATATGGATCAATTTTATTCAGGTCAACTTGTTCACTTGTATTTTTTTTTCTTATTTCAAAGGATAAATAGTGAAGAACAATTTGATCTAAAAACCATAGTGATTTGTATTTTTTTTACTGTTTTTTTTTCTATGAACCGATTCATATAGAGAATTGGTGTAATTATAATATTTTTATATTATACTACAGTATTTTCAATAATTTTAAGAAAATACTAGAGTGTCATAATGTTTTTGTATTTCTGGTATTGTTGAAATTAATGTAACATAATATAAATACATTATCAATATTGTATTACAGTATTTACAAAATTTATACAAAACTATTATATTATATTATATTATGGTTTTTTAATATTATTAAAAAAATATAATAATACAGTTTAAAAATATTGTAATTGAATTGACTCACCCAGAACAGGTCCATAGAAAAAAAAGGAAAGAAAAGAAAGAAAAAGGATATTCCATATATATATATATATATATATATATATAATTAAAAAATCCGAAAATGGAAAAAAGAATATCTTTTTCCAGAATTCGCTTAATAAAATATATTAAATAAGATTACCAATCATCACTTAAGGTGAGGTCTCCAAACTGCGACATCCCCCCTCAGTCCCCTAAATGCATCCACTAAATTGGCAGCAGCTGCAGCACAAAGCTTGCAGGTGCAGGTAGTGCCACCCACAATCTGCCAACCCTCTGTTTTCAGATTTATGCTTGTTTAACTTCCCTTCTCCTACTGCCCATTGGATTGCAGAACAAGCAAGAAGCAGAGTAGAACAGGGGGACGGACTGCTGCAAGATAGATTGTTCTTCAGTGAGGGTCTCTCTTCTTCTCCAGGTTGTATGGAATCAATCACAACCGAGTGGGCAAGTGGTGATGGGTTCTTCTTACTGAGAGAAGAATAAAAAGCAGGTTTCATTATTGGTTGAGGGGAAGATGGAAGGAACCGTCATGTCTCTTTTGGTGGGGTTGTATTCTTGAGCTTTCATCCATCTTTTACGGGGAGTGAGGCAGCGGTGGACTCACGGTGAGTGGGGGCACGACACCGTGAAGGAGGAGATGTCGCCATTGTGGGTGAGAACATGCCTCGGACAAGTTGAAGCACGCAAACGCATCATGCAATAAAATTAATGGACTCAAATTCCACCCTCCATCCCAAATCCGTCGATGAAAGGTTTTGCACAGTCCTTGATCGAAATTAATCAATAAGTAATACCATGTCTGATGTCAATATTCACCTCATCCTATGTGAGTAATTTTTTGAAGATTATTAATGTAAATTAAAGAATTAAAGAACTTGGGATTCCTTTAGCTCTAATTTGATGAACCCGAACCACAAGATTATGGGAATGGGTCAAATGGGACCCACGGGGCACCGGAATGTAGTTCACCTACTGCGTCCAATCGTAGGGCAGGTTGGCCAGCTGGTAAGTTGAAGACAGAATAAATTCCCCAAGAGAATGCTGTGACCACGACGACCTGCCTCCACGTCCGCCTTCATCCTCCGACGACGACGAAGTGTCAGTGATACCTGTGTTCTTTACGTTACTTGATGGCGAGAAGCAGATCGGCCAGGTGCTGCGCTTCGAGTCATCCACCTGTCTCTCTCTCTCTCTCTCTCTCTCTTGGCTCCTTTCTCGTCTTGTCTCCCTCTGCGAGATTCATGTAATCTATTGAGTGGTCTACAAAGATGGAAATGGCGAGTGGGGCCATTTCCAATGGACGCGGAGGTAAATTATAGCATTCTCCTCGCTGGTTCACCTCACTTGCCTCTGCTTTTATTTTAGGGTTGGTGGTAATCTTGGCGTCAGAAACGTGCGAAACCCGCTTTCCTGCTCCTTGGAAACCAGAGGCCAAGATTGGAAATCCACGGCAAACACGCTCATATACGCCCCTCTCCCTTGGTCCTTCCTCCCTAGTCATGCTGTCTTCTGTCTCTTGCTCACAGTAGTAGGAGGTTTAGAATCGAGTAGGATTAGCGCCATGAGGATGAGCTGCAATGGATGCCGCGTGCTGCGCAAGGGGTGCGGCGAGAACTGCAGCATCCGCCCCTGTCTGCAGTGGATCAAGAGCCCCGAGTCGCAGGCCAATGCCACCGTCTTCCTCGCCAAGTTCTATGGCCGCGCAGGCCTTATGAACCTCATCAACGCGGTCCCCGACCACCTCCAACCTGGTCAGTGTTTCCTCCTACTAAGTACGTGCTACCGCTTCCACTGCTCATGAATTCATTTGCGTGCTACCGATCCTTGGATTCTTTCTTGCAGCCATATTTCGATCCCTGCTGTACGAGGCTTGCGGCCGGATCGTCAACCCAATCTACGGATCCGTCGGGCTGCTGTGGTCCGGCAACTGGCAGCTGTGCCAGACAGCAGTGGAGGCGGTGCTCAAGGGCGCCCCCATCGTCCAGATCCCCTCCGAGACGGCGGCCTCCACCCCGGCCCCGCCGCTCCAGGCCTGCGACATCCGCCACGTCTTCAAGAAACCCAGAACCGCCGCGGAACTCCACAACGTCAACAAGCCGCGGTCCCTGTTCAAGCGCACCGGCTCCAAGGCTGCCAGGACGGCGACCACCCGGCCCGAGTTCCCTCGCGCCCGGAGCCACGAGTCGGAGGCCAGCCACCCGACCGAGCCCGCCGCTGCAGTGGTCGAGCGAAACAGAAAAGGCGGTGAGTGCCGGGAGAACGAGTGCATGTCCTTGGCGGACACCGCGGAGGAGGCGTCGCACGTAAGCCAGGGAGAGCCGGACGAGACCGAGGAGGACGAGCTCGGCCTCGAGCTCACGCTCGGGTTCAAACCGGTCTCCTGGTGGTCTCGGCTCGTTCTCAGTGACCGGGATACCAAAGCGTGTACAACCGACCTCAATCTCGCGCCGCCCTCAGCAACATCATGAACCAAATCAAAGCAGCGTCGGACATAAATGAAGTGCATATAAGTTCTTTTTAGTATGCTTTGAGGAATTTTGTTTCGCAATAACAGTCTCCCTTTCGTTCTACAATTCATTCTCCTTATCTTTTTGGGTAGTACATTCGGCGTTAGGTCAGAATAGTTTAATGTGTGAGGTCCACGTTGGATGCCATTCTCATGTATGAGTAGTATGTATACTTACGAAGATGAGATCATAGTTTCCTCCTTTACTCTGCTTAAGTTTTCTGTGAGGTAGTCAGGTTCTTCTTTGCAACCAGAGAGAGGTTGACGATGAATTGGACCAGACCGAAGTAGCGAGAGCGCGGTGAACGTCTAATGTTACTGGAGACGTCAAGTCACCACTGGTTTGGAAGCGCTTGGAACCTTTTGCATGCATCATGCTCTGAGGAGAGAGAGAGAAGCTATCGCCAACGAGGTGGAGTCTTGAGAAGACTCTCGTATTTTCTAGTTACGGCTTTGCAGAAAGCCACCTGTGGCAGACATCGAGGTGACGAAGAGAGAGAATATGGCTCTAGTGATCTCCTGCTATCTTTCAGGATAAGATAGAGTGACGATTCAAGTGAAGGATAAGGGACAGGCAGATGGACCCATTGAATGCTGTCTCTGACTTTGATGTGCGTTTGTGCTCACCCAGGAAAGATTTTCCTGAATCAAAACTAACGATGGATGATTGTTCACGGTACCGCTTCCTGGTGCAGTTGATTGCATGGTCCAGGTTTTAGGTTGATGATGATAACAGGAGGTGTTATCATGATCTGTTTCCTGGTGCCCTGGATGATGATACAGAATAAATCAAGGGGAGCGTATGTGCCGAGGAATTTAAGGTTTGTGTTTGGCCATCAGTTTCTGAGACGGACTTTCCTGTTCCGAATCCATTTCTGGGCGCACACAGCAAGTTCAACTAATGTGGGGTAGATGAGAATATACTCCACTGCTAGAAATTGACAGAGGAACAGTTCAATTTTGCTTCTTCTAATTATAATATAATACGTTTGACGATTAAAAATAATTTAATGTTTTTAAATTCATTTTATATTGATTTCATTTATTGTTTTGGTGGTAAGAGTTGAAAGAGATTTTATGCCAAACTTTTGTATATGTTTAAATTAATTGTCTATATATATCAGTTAAATTTTTTTCTTTACATTTTTTTCTTCTTTTTATTTTTATAAAATAATATTCGATTTTAAAATTTTATCATTAATAATCAAAATCTTTATCGATTAAACTAATCATCTTCGTGCATTGGTATACCACCCTCAGCCAAGTTGGTCGCTGCTATTTGATTATGTGAACTCAACTTTACTTAGATATTAAGAACAAGTAATTAAAATTACTCATTCGAAAGTTTAAATAGATAAATTTTGAATGAAATTCAATAATCCATTATTTTAATTCTTAATCTTATTTTCACACTTCATCTTACACATCATTGTTTTCCTAACAGCTTCAAGTTTATCAGAGAGTATTTTACATGACACAAAAAGATGCAGCATGAACAGCACACCGAAACACACTGTACTACTGCGACAGCCGAAACCTCTACTACTTGATGTACTGCGACAGCCACCTGAAGCCATCAGCGTACCCCATCTTGCGAACTACGCTGCACATGAAGAGTTCGACTGGGCGAATGCTGCTGCCGGTGTAGCTCACCCTGCCCTTGCCAGTGGTGCAGCCCGCGAGGCCTAGATGGTAACGGAGCTCGTCCTCGGAAGCCGCGTAGGGAATGTCGATCTTGTTCCCGAGCACCAGGAAGGGAACGTTAACGAGAGCCTCGTCGGAAAGCAGCGCATCCAGCTCCTTCTTGGACTCCAAGAACCGGTCCCTGTCGGCTGCGTCAACGATGTAGGCAACCGCATCCATCTGCAGGATTCAACCATCGTTACAACCATGGAGCGACGAGAGCAATGTAGAGGTTCAAAATCTGGAGCACAGAATCTGTTTGTGAAATTGCTCGGCTACCATATGCATATCTGATGAAGTGTTGCTTGCAGAAAATAATGAGAACAACTCGATTTCATGTATATATTCCAACAATCTTAAGCGCCATGAATATTGCCACAGAAGAGCATAACGTCAATACATCCGAAGTACCATGCGAGGTACCTTTGTGTAGTAGTCCTTCCACAGCCTGCGAGCCATCCGGTGACCACCTAAGTCGAAGGCAGTGAACCTGATCTTCCCAATCATCAGCTCCTCCGACGTAGGGTGCTGCGTCGGCTGGTGCTGCCCCAACCTCTGCTCGTTACCACCACCACCATCCCAAAAGAATGAGAACAGAGCATGAACAATAAAGAAAGAAGCAACAAAAGAAGCTGGGTTAGGCACCTCATCTTTGAGCATGTGGAGCAGGGTGGTCTTCCCGGCGTTGTCGAGGCCCAAGAACAGGATCTTGGCCTCCTTGGCCCCCAGTCCAAGCATCCAGAGGATCCCATACAACCAGTCCACCAGGAACATCTCCTCGACGAGAAAGAAAAGAAAGGCGGCGACGAGACGAGACGACAAGGGCGGTCGTATCCCCCCAGTTGGTCTCGTCGAAGGTAATACTTGGGTTGGGTTCGTCTTCCTAGGGTTCGTCAACGTTGGTGGAACTTGAGAGGCCGACGCAATGTACAGTTTTATAGGTTCTTTAGATAATGGGACACGTAACATTATTTTATATGAGCATTGCGAAGTTTGGTGTTATTGTAAAAGAATGTCTGTCATTTGTCGATGTGGAAGGTGGTAATTGGTCGAACAACGTGGATCCGCAGGATAGGACCGGCAAGATGATGATCTATACGAAACGAGAGGTGACCAGGGTGTAGACAGACCCGGTCCATTCGCTAAACCAAATCAATCTCGCGCGCTCCGTCTGGTTATTCTCGGTTCGGTTTTCTACTGTTCACTTTGTAAAATGGGTTTAATTCATTTAAAAGTTCTAATAATTATCATCTGAGTTTGGTTTTATTTTTTAGATCCTTTAAATCAAAGGCATAAAAACCCACCGCCTCTTCCGCTCTAAGTTTCGAGGATGTGGCAAATCATCATTGGTTTACGAGCGTGGAGCAACGTGACTGGGTAGACTTGGATATAAAAATTGCAAGTATGGGTATAAAATAGAGAACTGAATCCCTGCAAAGTTTCAAACTCGAAACTAAGCTCCCAAGTCAAAGCGGTCCTTTTCAAACGAACGCAGTGCCGTTGATAGAAGGTTCGTACGATTTCTATATAATATATAATAGATAATTATTTTTTTATTTTTACTATCAATTATAATATATATATATATATAAATATATATACGAAGAGACGTGTGATCATCTAACTGAAATTTCACGTGGGCATGTATAGTGGTGAATTGATTGGATCAGGCGGAGTCGAAGTGTGTAAATGCTAAGTCAATTTAGCAACGAATTAGGGGCAATGCAGCCCGAGACAACTCAAATAGAGGCCTTCATCCTGTGTTATAATGCACCACTGGCTAACCACAAGTTTAAGACTCCAGTGCCAGCTGCAACCAACCTGCATGGCTCATTTAAGGTCTATCCACCTAACCCCACCCCCACCACGCTCCACGGGTGGTTGACGCATTCATGGTATAGCTAAAGCTGCGAGCACCAGTTCAGTGGGGCCCGTTCCCATAAATCTGGTGCAACCAGGATCTGTCTCTCCTCGACCTGCGCCCAAGACAGAATCTGATGCTATTTACCGATGCATCGAGCCCGACATTCCAATAGCTGAGTTAAGAGGCTCGGATCGGACCCGACCCCTGGCCTGCGCAGGGCCTGCCGTGCCTGCCCAGGGACTCTTCCCATGCCCGTCGCGTTCAATCCCGGTCCGACCGCTGTCGCCGGTGGAGCGCGTCCGTGTGCCAAGCTCTTTATGTAGAGCAGACGCCGCATTGATTGGTTCGGTCTCTGTTAGTCACTTCTCACCTCGCTGTTCTTGACGTGCGAAGCACTTGATTGTATTGTTCGAAGCCGTTTCTCAGTATTCGAAATCATTCCTGCCCATATCGACGCACAGATGATGGCGCTGTCGAGCAGCGGATACTGTGGTGGTTGGCTCATTCATTGGCACTCACTCATCGGCATAGCTGGAAACGGGTGGATTATTATTGTAGAGACATTGCCATTCCTTAACTCCAAATTACGACGACGATGATGACACAGAAATTGAGAGGTGGGTTGCTGCATGTCGAAGCCATGGGTTTCGCGTGGGTGCATTAATGACGAAGACAAAACCAGTGAGGAAGTGGACGAACGCAAGCAGCCAAGGCGAGAACAAAAGCCAAGGAGGAAGCTCTCGGTCGCCCCTTTATGACTCCCCCAACTGGGAAAGCTGGCTCGGTGGTTTGCGAGGACAAAACCCGCTTTTTATGCACAAAACACTGGCTTTTCCTCTCCAAGTCCTCTTGGCCTTTTCACCCATCACAGTCGTTGGGAATGCGGATGAAAAGGAGCTCAAAGAGTTCCGTGACACTGATTAGTGTATATATACCATGACAAATCGTGGTTCAATTGGCAGAGTTGGCCATATCCGCCCTGACTCGCACAGAGTTGACTTGCTCATCCTTCTTTTGCTGACCTTGTTAACCATCTGACCAGCTCTCGTGGAGCTAAGTAGCCTCTAGCGCAGCTAACTGTGAAGAATCCGTAAATGGTTTTAAGTAGCTACAGAACATTCAAATTTAAGTTGATCTGTTCACAGGACAAGTGAATATGGTATGTGCAGTACTGTCGCACCAGAGATCCATGCTGCTGTGCAACTGGAATGACCAAGCCTCAGAGCCTCCCCACCCCGTTGCAACAGTCTTTTGATGTATACTCTGGTGGACGAAGGTAGCAGGGGATAGCTTGATGGTGGGCAGCAGTGAAGATTTAATGATTTATACTCCACTCGTACTGTCAATAGCTTATTTGTACACCTTTCCAGCTGTTTGATTTATGAGAACAAGGTCTTATTAGGCATCTGTTTGTGCCAGCATTTCCTTCGAGTGGTGCCAGCTTAAGCTGACATGAACAGAGAGTGAAGCTAAATTGGCCATGTTTTGAACGCAAAACCAAGAAGACAACGCCCGCCATCCACGCTATCGTACCAGTGGCATTCCTGGCATTAAGCGTTATATCATGGGCATTTGTTCCAGTACTGGCTCTCTTATACAACGCAGGCAGGAACTCCCTTCAAACCAAGACGGCCATCAACGCCCCACCTCTCTCGTCTTCTATCCGGTGGAGCTCGGATTCCGACGGGGTTTAGCGGCGGCGATGGGAAGAGCCCCGGCGGGGTGACGCCAAGAGCCCGGGCGACGTCGATGGCCGGGAGGAGGGCGGGATCAGGTGTGGTGCTGTGTCTCGTTCTTCTGATGAGCTTCTGGCTGTGCTTCGACTGTAGGAAGGTGGCAATTCGGACATTCTCGGCCGACTCCAATGCTTACCGAAGAGAGAGGACGCCAGTTATAGGGAGGAGACCCGTCCCTATCGGCCCTCCTCCGCTTCCGGCAACGGCGGAGAGGGGTGGTATGGAAGAAAGTAAGCGGCGGGTGCCGAGCTGCCCGGATCCGCTCCACAACAGGTAGCTTAAATGACCTGCGCTTACCATGGTTTTGTGGGAAGAAACACAAAGGGGTGGTGTCTCCGAAGCTGTCTTTTTTACATCTTATTTTATATATCAGTTTGGTGTATAGGTAATGGAGTGAAGAGAAGAAGAGAAAGGCTTTGTATTGGGAGAATCTCCTACACTGAATGATATGTTGATAAATCTTTGGGATTAGGAACGAAATTGAGGGAGATTCTTAGCATACAGAGCTTGGCTCCATGTTCAGAAATAGCAAGTGCAAGAAATAAAACATTATCTTTCCTATTTGTTTGAATTCTCCTCACTCAAATCATTCTGCTGGTGCTCTTGAATTCCTGTAAACAGCATGAGCTTGTCATGGCATCAGACATTTTTAATGACAGCAGATTAAGCTTCCTCGAAATCAAAGAGTAGAGAACCTGCTTACATGAACCCACCTTGAGCAGAGAGTCCTGCAGTAATTTAGTCTATTGCTTCTGGGTGTTAAGACCAAGCCAAACAGAGATCTGAAATCTAAATCTGTAGTAGCTCTGCTTACCCACAGGTAAGACAGACGATTGGAGGGTCAAACAGAGGCAGTGGGAGATTCCACTGATCAGTAAAGACAACAAACGTGTAAAAAAAGGCTTCTTTTCTCCGATTTGTTGGTCCAAGAACACATGAATCTCCACGAGGATGCCATCTCTCTCTCTCTCTCTCTCTCTCTCTCTCTTGCTGCTGAGGTTGAGGCTGTCGGAGTCAACTTGAGAGCGTCGTCGTTCCTTCTCCAGGTCTTCTCTTCGGTATCAACGTTTGCGATCATCATCTTCCTCCTAAAGTTCATATTATCGAACTACAGCAAAATACTCGAGACCATAGAAGCATTTTCGTCCTTCTATTGTAAATCTTCCGACGCGAATGCAGGTCTCCGAAGAACGACGAACCCACCCTGATTCCCGCATGCGCCGCGACGTACGGACTCAGAATCCGTCCGTTCATCACTCGCATCGCCTGATCGGACGGTGGAGGGCTCGTCCGCGGAGCATGGCGCGTGCGGTGGGCGGGGAGGCGACGGAGGCAGGTGGGGGTTGTCGGGTAGTCGCTTGGATGGGAATCTCTGCGACCCAGCGCCACTACTTCACTTGGTGTTGCATTCATTAGGATAATGCGTCGGGGGCTGCCACATTACTACTGCTGCCTACGACTCTACCCCGATGATGGTATGTTCATGAGGACACACGTCTCAAGAAGCGTGTTGACATTGATGGCGATTCACTTCAATGTAGCTGAAGACGAGTTCGGCCGCAGACCCATCCTTGGTAATGTCTTTGACGGCTTCTGGTGCGGGTAAGATGGTCCATTTGGTTTCTTCCGTTCAAGATTTGATGCGAGAGGCATTCACCATCGTGAAGCAAAGAATGATGTTTTAAGGTGTAGATTTCTCTATATCGGAATAGTAGTTCCGTATGATATGTATTCTTTTTCTGCCACTGTCTCACTTCACCGCGCAATCTGTGTCTTTGTATCCGACCATGTTTGCTCGACAAATCAAAAAGACAACCACCGGCAGAAACTTCCTTTTGATCAACAGTGTGACAAGTACAAGACCAAAGCACATATTGGAAGAACCATCAGCTTCTTCTGCGTCAGCCACATCCCCCCCACCCCCCCCCTCCCCCGACCACCAAATCACTGAAAAGGAATTGCCTATTTGTCGTGAAAGGGTTACTGAGCTCATCTCAAAGTACCCTGTTTATGAACACATCACAAAGGTAATCTAGTCATTCAACCACTGTGGCAATCAAAACCCAACTCTATCATTTTTTGTATATCATCTGTGAAACGATGCAGAGGAAGAAAAATAGGAAGGGAATAATACTGCGGGATTTGGTGGTGGAAAATGTACCGACAAATAGACACAGTTCCAGCCCAAGTCCGACAAGTCCGGACCGATATCAAGTGGCCTAAATAGGCCCATTTAAAGCAAAACAGGCACGGGAAACACAGTGGAACCTAATTGATGATGAAATCTTGTTATAGAATTTCTCGTGTTGCTGACTTCTTCACTGATCCATTGGAATTAGATTCTATCCGAGTCCAATAATTTCAAAAAATATTATTTTCCTGTGTGCAAATACAACGGAAGCCACAGAATGGGAGCGTAAAGCAGCCTCCGGTGCTTGGGTTTCTCACGTCGACATCGAAACCGGGAACAACGGCGATCAACACGAGCCCATTCCACGGGCAACGGACGCCGTCATTGTGTGACGTCACTCCTTCTTCGACCCGCTGCGACAGCGCTTACCTCACCGGCCTCACGTCACCGATGAATCACGAGGGAGAACCCACCGCCGGCCGTGGTCTTCCTTCCCCAGTCGGAAGAATAACATAATACACGTGAAGGTATTCCTGCAACATGTAATCCCGCACCTTTTTGTCTGCGCTACGCATTCGCTTACGTAAGCGCCAAAAAAGACATTCAACTCACCCAGATTCTCTCTTATCAAAGAACTGTCCCTATCGTATACCATCGGCGATCGAGGGGTATTTTCGTAAAGTTGCATGCCATCGTGGCATTCTAATCCGATTTAATCCCTTCGGCGCTCCTTCTTTCTTCGTCTATTTATATTTGTATTTTGATCCGTCAAGCTTTGGGAAACAAAACCATAAAGACTTGCTTTTTAACAAGACACGGAAATATCATTAAATGGGAGGAACTCGGATTCAACACGGACGTCCTTCTGCCTTCCGCCGACTATTTAAGCTCTCATGCGGCGTCAGACACGTTACGTCTCCGCCTCAGTTCTGATAGGTTTCCACCCTGTTCTTACGTGAGACCATGGACTCTGGGCGACGAGGGAAGAAAAGGCCATGTCCAAAGCCGTCAACTGCACCCGCAGGGCCGTCTCCGACTCGTGAAGAAGACGACGAGGAAGAAGAGATGGAGGAATTCTACGCTTTGGTGGGAAGGATCAGAGAAATGAGGGACATGCTCAGGTCCAACGCAGCGACGCCGCTTTGGAAGCCCGCGTTCAAGTTGGAGGACTTCCGGCATCGCGACGAAGCCGAGAGCTCGGCGGCGGCATTGGTGGAGCCGCCGAAGGAGGAGAAGAGAATGAACGAGGAGGGGAAGGAGGAGGCGGGGAAAGAAGAGTGCGGTTTGGATCTCAGTCTTGCTCTCTAATGTTCTGTGGTCAAGATGCGTACTCCACTGTGTAGTAGTAGTAGATTGGGGAAAATACCCAAAGGACACTCTTTTTTTCTCTATTTCTTGTATATATTTTCATTTGCTTAGAACTATACAACTGGAAAAGTTTTCTGAGTGACTTTCATGGGGAATTAAAATACTTATTTTGAACCTTAAATTTATGATTCATTGTTCATTGATGCCTATACCAACCGTGAAAGGACATAACATACATGTGATATGCATGAATAAGCTGAGGGATACGAACCGTTAAGATCTTACTTGGTTGGACAGCACAAATTAAGACAAAACTATATCAAATTCACCGTTCATCTGTGTATTGTTTCTGAAACCGAAAAATATTTACATAATTTTTATTCCACTGTACGAAACAAAAAGATTAAAAAAATAGACACTTCTCTCAACAAAAAAAAAAGAAGAAGAAGATTTGGTGTCTTCTTTAGAAAATGGAAGCGACAGGCATTAGGATATTAGAAAAAAAAATGAAGGCATCATCCGAAGAATTTGTAGGATCCAATTCCAACTCGTAACGGATTGTCCTGGTAAAGCCGGAATCCAGTATAGCCCTTGAGATAAAAAAGTACCCGATAACAATCTGGGTCCGACACGACGGCCACGTACAAGCTCCGAGCGTCAGACACAACCGCATTCTGATTCGTGCAATCACATGGTAGACGGTCAAGATCCGAGGAAGGATCAGCTGTACAACTCAAGTCGGTCCAGTTACGCCCTTTAGTAGTAGCCAACCGCTGTAGAGGAAACGAAGCTTCTGACAGCACCGACTCGACGGCGGGGCACCGATGTTTGCAGCCGGCGCTGCCCTCTCTCGACGCCGGGCCTCGTTGGAACTGCTTCGCCAATTGCGCCGGACCACTTCTGTCGCCCCACCACAGCCTCCCTCCCTCTCCACCGTCGCGGCGGCGGCAGAGGGCATCGGCCCACCGCCGATTCGCGTCTCGCTCACCGAGTCAGCCGGCCGAGGCGTGTTCGCTACCCGAGGAATCGCCGCCGGCGAACTCATCCACTCCGCCCAGCCTCTCGTCGCCCACCCCTCGCCGTCTCTCCTTGACAAAGTGCTCTCTCTTTCTCCTCATTTCCGAATCCCTCCGATCCCCCTCTTTCTCTGATTTGTGATTTCGGATATGAAAACCTAGGTCTGCTATTACTGTCTGAGGCGGTTGCAAAAGGAGGCATCTCCGATCGGTACCTCTATACCGGGAGAGAACGAGAGGTCGAAGACTACCGCTTGCTATTTCTGCAGCGAGAGTTGCAGAGAACAATCTAAGGTCTGGTCTGGTCTTCTTTTCGTTTTAGCTTCTATTGGGTTTACACATCTCCTACTATGCTTTTGCTGCATTGTTCGCATATATCCTACACTGTAAATGTTTTATATTTTCCTTATGGTATTGTGTAATGATACTACGTTTGACATACTTTTTTGTAACAAAAACTTCTAAGGATAGAAGCAAAACTCATTTACTCCTATGCCTTGGGGTTTCTCCATAACCATCAAGCGTCTTCTGATATATCTAGTTTTGCAATAAGTTCTTTATTTGGCCATTTATTCTTACACTTTCTTTGTTTTGAACCAGTGTCGACATGTCTACTAATATGCTCTTGTGAATATTGCGCTTTCTTTCAGGGTTTCTATGAGGTCGAGAAGGGACTAGATTGGACTTTGTTTGATGACCATTGCAGGTTTGCAGGAGAACTTAATTCTTGTGGTCATTATTTCCTAAAACTTATTTGTTCTTGAGGAAATTTTCTCCACTAGTTGCATAAAGTCATCAAACAATCATCCATGATAATGATATTCATTTTGTTTGTTGTTGTCTTTGAATCTGTTCTTGACTTTACATCATCTATCTTGCATATGGAGCGACATTTTCATTTTAAATATAATACTAATAAGTTTTACTTTTCTGAGGCTCTTGAGGTATCTCAATTGGAGTAGGCAAACCACAAATTATGTACATTTGGTTTGTTTGTTACTGCATTTACCCTAATGCTTCTTTGTGGAATGTGACATGGGAAGTGTACTGCTGTGAATGTTTGCTAAAAATGACTCCACCCACCACTTCCATAATGGGCCGATGGGCTAGCATAGATCTCTCACTTGTTTGTTGTTCCTTCCAAGTTTTGGACATGCATCCTACAATAATTGCTTGCCATAGGCATGTCTACTAGTTTAACATAAGCAGAAACGATTTGCAATAATATTGTGTAGCTAAACAAGATTGAAATGTCTTATGGGCATATTTCTAACTAATCTTGACTTGAGTCACTTTAAAATATCAGATTGGTGTCGAGAATATTTTATAGACTGTGATTGTGCAATGTAATTATGTGCAATTATGTAAATGAGTTATTTGTCTCTCTTTATATTTACTGTAGTATGAGGAGATTGAAATATCCTTTGATGGTGAAGCGGCTGGCTTGTATGATTTTATCAGGAGCAGCATCTGTAGATTGCCTTGACATACTCCAACCAGCCAGTTTACATCCCGAGACACTTCTGGAGGTGGGGATCACACTATCCAGCTACGGCACAAACAACATTCTTATTTCTTTTTCATTTTATGTAGCTACAACTTACAAGATATTTATGCTATTGCCTCACTTCTTTTTTCTTTTTCTCTTTATCCATTGAAAGATGGAGGATGAGTTTCAATTGTTGAAGGACACTTTTACGAAGGGGCAGTTTAAAAATGACTCAATGACATGTATCCTTAATATTGATCTTCTTACTTGCTTTTATTGCCTACCTTGATTATCTATAGATGCGCTGATAATTGAGTAGAAACATTTTTCCTTCATAAACTAGTTTTAACCAAGGAGTGGTACATCAATGTGCTTGCAAGGATTCGTATAAATGCTTTTCGCATTGAGTTGGTTGCAAAAACTTATGAAGAAATGCTTACATCAGCGGCTGCCTTCATTGCAGCTGATGCTGCTGTTGGGAATGCTATTTATATGCTTCCATCATTCTACAATCATGATTGTGGTAAGCTCTCATTATCCATTTTCTTTATTGATTTTCTTACATCTATCTCATGAACCTCTTTTGAATTTCCTTAGGAAATGTTTACTGAAGCAAAAAGTGAATACCTTTCTGTTGTGGAATTTTTAAATGGTTCATCTTAAGGATAAAAATTCCATTCCATTGACACGGGGGGTACCAGCTGGTGGCTAAAAGTCTATATGTTATGCCATCCCTAGAGACTGCCGTATCTGCTACTGGATTTAAACTTCCCTCCAAGGATGATATGCGGTTCATGTATGTTAAAGAGGTTGTCTCCATTGCTATTTTCTTCTGGTTTGGCTTAAAAAAAGGAAAAAATAAAAACAGTAACATCACAGTAATATAGTGACAAGAAAAACCTTGTAAGTTATATATATAATATATAATATATACAACAGAAAGTGTAGTGGTAGAAATGGATGAAGGAATATAATTTAATTAGTTATATAATATACCTGATTATTTTTAAAAAAATTTGTAGATAGAAATGGATGAAGGAATTAAAGTGTAGTGCTAGTGGCTTTGTCCAGGGCAAAACCTGGTTTATTCTTTTTCATCTGTGATGTTTTAGATCTATGCTGCTGACTGTCATGCTGTTTGATTCACTCATCAGAATACACGATGCTGGAAACTGTCAGTTCCATGGAGCATACTTTACGTACAAAAGCATTATCGTTCTACTTCTTTTATGTCCTTGATAATATCCTGTTTAGACTTAAGAGCAAACAATCATCTATCCTTATGGTTCAACTCTGTGTAGATTTCATTTGGATCTCAAAAATCTGCTGTTAGTGGACACACTTTTGCAGAACAATGACTAGTTATTGCTGATATTCTTAGGTATCAAATTTGTTATTTTCTTTAGCATTTGATGGAAGGTACATCTGTTGCAACTGACATTTAGCTGCGTTCAGTAGGATTAATGAAACCAAATAACGGATTTAATTTGTGCCATTATGTCATTGTTGATGATAACGTCATTCTTGATGGTGTGATACAGTCCATGCTCTGTGTCTATTGGGTGTATGTTATACAATATGTATTTCTCTGCGTGCCTCTCATTTTCATGTTTGACAGAAGAAGCTAACCTGAACATGTTAATTTTCGTAGATCCAAATGCACATATCATCTGGATAGATAATGCAAATGCAAAGTTGAAGGCCCTTTGTAACATCGAAGCAGGTTTATTACCATATCTTAAAGATTAAATATTTTTTTGAACAGTCCACTACTTGGAAACTCAGTGAATCTAAAAATAGGAAGCTATTTCTTGATAGTTGATTCGATTTCTTTTGTTACTAGGTGAGGAGCTTCGCATTTGCTATATTGATGCCAGCGTGGAATTCGAGGCTCGACAGAAAATTCTTGCTGAAGGATTCGGTTTCCAGTGCGGCTGTCTTAGATGCTCATCTCGTGATTAAGAAGCATGGCAAACCCCGCCCGCGCAGGGATTAACAGTTATATAGCTTGATTCAACAAGGAAGCAGATCTCAATTTCGGTGCAAAAGGAACATATATGTGTAGTCATGCGGGCCTTGAGACCAGACATTATGTGATATGGTTTCTCCATATCAACGTAGTAGATAAACTTCTTCTGTTCCTGTTTTGTTTTCCTTTCACATGACAAGCTTCAAAGTTCATGCTACAGGACAGTTCTCATCCTTCATGGTGATGAAGATGAGGGTAAACTTGTACTCGTTGGTTTTGGCTGAAAATTTCCACGGTTATACTCGACGAAGGTAAATTGTCTTGATATCCATGAATTGTATGATTCGTTTTGCTTCAGAATTGCACTGGTTTTATTTCCTTGTCGAAAATTCCTCAGCGAAGAGCAGATGTAACTGCTGTGGAGTGGTGAGGCTTTCTGTGTTGCTCTTGAGCTCAACATCCGCAATCCTTCCATTTCTTTAAGATTCGTGCATGTCCCCAGATAGTAGCAAGTATTAAGCCTTTGCTTGCTTGAGCCTCAACCGAAGACAACTTGCTGATGATCGCGATGATGTTGAGCAGGGGCAGTAAAACCCTCGTCGCCCTCCACCGTCATCATCTGCAGCTGCAGTGCGGACAATGGGGGTGGTGGTCGCGGCGGTGGCTGGTGAAGGTTCGGCTCAAGTGGGTCAAGAACCGTGGTTTCGACCACATCATCGACCGCGACACCGACATCAAGGCCGCCTGCCTCCTCAAGGACGCCATCGCCGCCGCCCCTTCCGGCCTCCTCCCCGCCCGCTCTCTCGCCCGGTTCCAGAAAAACCTCGGCCTCACTGTCCCCGTCCTCCGCTTCCTCCGCCGCTACCCCACCCTCTTCCGCGAGCTCCCTCACCCCCGTTTCCCTTCCCTCCCGGCTTTCTCTCTCGCCCCCGCTGCCCTCCTCCTCCACCGCCGCGAAAGCGAAACTTTCCAAGCCGCCCTCCCGGAGGACGCCGCCCACCGCCTTGCTCGCCTCCTGATGATGGCTCGCTCCCGCGCTCTCCCCCTCTCCGCCATCTTTCCACTCCGCTACGATCTTGGCCTTCCCCCGGACTTTCCCTCCGCCCTTGCCGCTACCCGCTCGGACCTCTTTCGCCTCTCCCGACGCCCCACTGACGGCGCCTTCATCCTTTCCCTCTCCTCCTGGCCCGATCACCTCGCCTTCTCCGCCCTCCAGCTCCGCCACAGAGATGCCCTAGCACAGCCCTCCTACCGCGACTTCAAGAAGCCATCCGTATCCTCTGCCGCCCCCCTTGCTTTCCCCATGCGCTTCCCCAGAGGCTACGGCTCCATGAAGAAGGTCAAGGCCTGGATGGAAGACTTCCACCACCTCCCCTACGTATCTCCCTACGAGGACGCGTCCGGTATCGACCCCGACAGCGATCTCATGGAGAAGCACGTCGTTGGGGTCCTGCACGAGCTCCTCAGCCTCACGATCCACAAGAAGACCAAGCGGAACTACATTCGCAGCCTCCGAGAGGAGCTCGGCCTCCCCCACAGGTTCACTCGCGTGTTCACCCGCTACCCGGGGATCTTCTATCTGTCCCTAAAGTGCAAGACCACCACGGTGGTCCTTCGGGAGGGCTACCAGAGCGGTAAGCTGGTGGATCCGCACCCCCTCTCACTTGTTCGAGACAAGTTCTTTTACGTCATGAGAACAGGGTTGCTGTATCGGGGCAAGGGCATGACAAAGCTAGTTCTTGAGGAGGATGACTTATTCGGCGAAGGCAATTGCAGGGAGGAACAAAAGGAACAGATTGCCATTGACAATGAGGAGCAGGATGGTGTTTACGGTGACGATGTTGGTTTTGATGATGAAGATGTTGATGCCAGTGACAATGATGATGACGAATGCTATGAGTTGGATGATTCAGATGATGAAGATGGATCAGACAATGGCTGAAATTTTGTTTACAATCAACCGGAGTTTCTTTTACCCCTTGACACAACAACTATATATGTTTTTAGGTCAGCAACCTCATCAAGGTAAGGGACATGACATATTCTGCAATCTCACTTGGTGATTTGCTGATATTTGATGGAAACTAGTTGACAATAGAAGCACTATTTCTTCTTAGTTTCCATTAAAATCTTGCTACTATTTTGTAGTCATTTTTGTTATGGCAAGTTAGACATACACCTGGTTGGATCCTTTCTAATAAGTGGACATGAATATTTTATACAGTGGAATATTGATACTCTGCATATTTTGGTTGGTTTTACATGAAAGTAGTTTGTGCTGGTTTAGTCTTGTAAAGTTTTGTGTTTGATATTTGAAAGGTAGAATATAACAAGGTAAAGCATCATGAGTTTAGTGTGTAATACCAAGTTTTTTTTACTAGAATTGTTAAACTTAGATCATAGAATATTTTGCTCTGATTGTTGAGTAACAATCAGAGCATACATATAGTTGAGTAACAAAATAGATAAACATAACCCATGCCCATAACACTGAGCACATACAAAGTAACAAATATCCAAGTGAAATCTGAGTATAACTCAAATAGTCATGCCATGATATTTTAGTCCTGTTTTTGATTACTGATTCTCTCTTCCAGCAATTTTTTCTCATTTGTTGTACTTATCTAAAATATGCTTAATTTGATCTAACATCTTAGTGATTTTTTTCCCTATGTTTAATTTGATCCACCCTAGTGCCACGCTCCTTTTGTCTCTCTTCTTTATCATCATCCAATGTTGGATAAGGCACAACATAGTTTGATCATGAGGGAGAGGCCTTTTTCTTTAAAACACCTTCCGTGATAATAGATTACTTCTGTAATATATTTCACCCTGACTCGATGAGAAATGACTACTTACATCTTGATTCACTTGCAAGTTCTTAAGGAGTGCCTAAATGCTGATCTAAAAGTGTGCCTACCATTTACATATTGACAACTGGCTGCTAGACATCGGTACTCTACATTTTCTAATAGCCTTTGAGCTTCCATTTCATTGAAGTGTAGACCAACATTCAGGATATTGCTTGAGGTAATCATTTTAGGTTGATCTTTCCTCGGTAAACATGGTTTAGAGTCAGAATCAGTTGATTCATGCATGCAAGAGACATGTGGATCTTGGTCTGACAGGTCAACTGTAGGTCTTGAAAGTTACAACCAAGATAAATTGGCACCTAAGATTCACATTTTCTAATCATTCCTGACAGAATCTGACAATACACTGATGTTATTCTGTCTAGGTCAAAGTTCTAGTTTATAATATCATGGGGTAACACATCTAATTGATTCTGGGCAATTTTTGTGATCTAACTTGTTCAAAATTATTGGCTGTTGCAATATTCGTTGCTCTCATGCATTAAATAGTTTCACTGAAGTTTGAGTGGGAAATGCACTTGAAGTTATTGTGCAAGACAAGTTTCTGCTTTACAGAAGTGATTTATAATTCCTCACCTTGTTTCAAGTTCTTTCAACAATTTTTCTTGCCTTTTATTATCTTGTTTGTTCATTCTGTTGCTTCTTTTTCTGAGGCAACTCATTGTCCATTGTGTCATTTTGAATGTTAATACACAGTCATTTTTTTCTCTTTTTTTTTTCTTTTTTTTTCTTGTGGGATTTAGTCCCGACTGGATCGGCATGGAAGGTAAAGCTGTAACTATAAAGAAGCCATTGTTCTAGTTGAAGAACCTAACGTTCTGCCAACCTAAACACTTCCATATATTGGGCAGGGCATCGAGAGCAGAGTCGATTCCGAGGACGTGTATCCCTCAGGAGCCCAACTTGACAAATGGGCAATCATGAAAGTTATGAGTATACAGGATAAAGTGTTTCTTCTACATGACCGTCTCAAGTTTGACTTTTTTGCCGTATTGATATCTTTAGATCTTCTTATAGCTTCAGTGAGAAAACCATTCTGATGATTTATTTTGCAGTTGTATGAAGCCACTTTTCTTGTTAGGTTTTGTAACCCTAGCTCGCTAGTCACCAAAGCGAACTATCTAATCATGCATCATTTGCTAGGCCATCAGCATACATAAGTATTTATTGTTCTATGGGACAAAGCCTCAATGCAACAAATTAAAGTTGGAAGTTATATGGTTCTATAAAACTCTTTATTATGATATTGCATTTTTTTATGGATTATTTGTTTAGAAAACCCATCTATAATTGATTTTTGCCTATAATATTTTTGGTAATGATATTCGTGATTTTATTAGAAATGATCGTGATAATGACATTCATAACGATAATGATAGTGATAATTATAAGATGGTGATGGTGATGATGATGATGATATTGATTATGGTATTAGCTCTAGTAATGATATTGTTTTAACAATGATAATGGTATTGATAATTGTAATGATCTTGATATTGGCAATGATAATGATATTAATATTGATAAAAATATTGGGAAGAGCAATGAGAATATTAATATTATTTATAATGATATTGATAATTATATTGGTAATGATGTTGGTCACGGTAAAGATAATGAGGTTGGTTATGGTGGATAATAATATTGGTAATTGTTAAGAGAAAATATCGTTGACATCTTGGTCGACTTGACGTGATCCAGACTCATATGTATAGGAATATTTAAGGTGTTTTTGATGTGAAAATATTGTAATATTTAAGGTGTTTTTGATGTGAAAATATTGTGTTCCGATGTGGTTCCAAGATGGAATTATTATGTTTTTAAGATGTTGGCTGCACGAAGATGTGAGGATTTCAACTCAATTCTTCTTAAGGAATTAACTATTTTTCTTATTTTGGATACGTTTTTATACCTTTGAAGGAGGGGAAGTTTATGATTGTCTTCTTTATTAGGAGAAGAGGGTCTAGGATTATCCTTATCATAAAGGGAGAGAAGAGAGTTTGCATTTCTTTTCCTCGTCATAATAGATAAGGAGGTTTGTGTTTCTCTATTATAACCTTCTATACATGTAGGCGGATGACATGTGTCTTGCGTGTCGATCACGTGTCAACTGTTGATAAATTCCATATCATTTATCCTCCCGCCGTCCCCAATGCATGATTTAGGGCTCTTACAAGAGGGATTTGAAGCATGTCATTTGGTTTTTCCGTCAAGGGAGTGTTTGGGACCTTATTTTGCTAGTCAAGGTTTCCTGATTCAAGTGTCTTGGATATGTTGGGCTCGTGCCTCCATCGTAGCAGTTTTTCTTTGACGCTGGTCGGATTTCTTGATTCATACATCTCGGGCATATTTGACTTATGTCTCTACTGTAGCAGATTTATCTCGATGTCGATCGAGGTTTTCTCGACTTACACGTCTCGAGCACATTCGACTTTGCGCCTCTACTATGGCGAATTAATTTTGGTGCCATTTGGTTTTTTTGAACTCATACATCTCGGGCGCATTCAACCTTGCACCTTTGTCGTAACAATTTTTTTTCAATGTTGATTGGGTTTACCTAACTCACACGTCTCGAACACATTCGATCTTACACCTCCACCATAATGAATTTATTTCGGTACCGATCGGGTTTTTTCAATTCATATGTCTCGAGCATATTTGTCATTGCGCATTTGTCATAGCAAATTTATTTCATTGTCGATTGAGTTTTCCTGACTCATATCTCAGGCGCATTCAACCTTATGCTTCTACCATAGCAAATTTATTTCAGTGTCGATTGAGTTTTCTTGACTTACACATCTTGGGCACATTCGGCCCTACGCCTCTACCGTAGTGAATTTATTTTAATGTCAATCGAGTTTTTCTGACTCACATGCCTTGGGCGCATTCGACCTTGCACCTCTGCTATAGCAAATTTATTTATTCTCTCCACCGTGGCGGATTTCAGGTCTTCTTGCCTTAGCGGACTTCAAATCTCCCTTTCATTGTGGTGGGTTTCACACCTTCTCTCTACCCGTGATGGATTGCTAAGTCCTCTCTTCGCCATAGCGGTATTCAGACCTTCCCGCCATGGTGGGTTTTGAATTTGCCTTTGCATCGTGGTGGATTTCAAAACCCCTTTTCATCTTGACGGATTTCGGGTCTTCTCGCTATGGTGGGTTTTATACCTTCTCTATACCATGACAGATCTCACAATTTTCTTTCTTGGGATGTGTTCTTGAAGGGACATTGGTTTTAATTGTGGGAGGAGAGAAATTAGTCTCTTCCTTATAAATCTCGTCCTCATAGGGTGGAACTCATATCCGTCCTCATAGGGTGGAACTCATATCTTCATTCGAGCCCTCGAAGTTCAGAGTTCAGAATCTCGGGAGCTTTCGGCCTCGCCCCCAAGGTTTAGGAGCCTCTCCCCTTCAATTCTTGATAAAGTGGATAAGTCTTCGAGTCCTTCATTTTGACGTCGATTCTGCTCTTCTGTTTCAGGTTAGGATGTTTCTCCTTTCTTATACAAGTTCTTCTCGTTCTTCTAGTCGTCAATCGATCAAGGTTCGTGCTCCCTCTTCAAGTAGTCCGAGGGTAGAGGCAGTTGAGTCCTCTTCATCAAAAGGAGTTTCTTCGGTTGACTTGAGGGCCTTTTAGGATTTAAAGTTTATAAGAGGTGTTCACGATTGTGATACGGTGGTGAACGCACCTATTTTGGATCGCTTGAAAACTAAATATTTCATCTTGTCTAAATTTGTCTTGCAATTTCTTGACATGGTTAGCGTCCGTTTGATTTTATTCCTAGGTCTATTTGCTTGTCTTGTATGCTCAAGAGGTGGGCCTCTGACTTCCTTTCTATCTGGTGATAGTATCATACCTTCAATGGTGGGAATATCACATTCCTAAATGACGCTCAACTTGTGGCTCTATATGATATTATTCATCGAGAAATGCCGGTATGCTGATACTGTCCTGACCCACACCCTCTTTGCTGCTTGTTTCCGATTGTGTAAGAGGGGTAGTGGCTACTACTTAGCCACTCATGGAGGTTTCAAGGTTAGCTATGCTTTTTCTAATAACAAGGGTTGGAGAGAGAGCTTCTTTTATGTGAGTTCAAGTCTTGACTAGGGTTTCAACCTTGCCTAGTCGACACGTTGTATTGATAACACCCCTCTCTTCTTATTGGACTAGGAGACAGGTCAAGTGTTTTCTTTAGGAGACATTTTTTTTCCTTTGAGATAGTCCAAAAGATGGATAAGGAGTGGTTGATCAATGTAAGCCTTAGCCCAACTCTTCAGGGGACTCGAACCTCATCTTGCTTTGCTTGGTCTTTCATTTTAATCTTCAATCTTGTGATTTAGACCTTTCTTATAAGCATAAAACTATACGCCCTAAAAAGGAAGTAGCTCGGTTCTTCATCAAAGGTTGTAGAGCCTCGATTGGTCTTGACGGTCACTCGCAAGCCATCATTAGAGGAGTTGGACCTGTCTCGGTCTGACCATCATGATAGTAATGACCGATCGAAGAAAAAGCACGAGGTCCTAGTGAAGAGGATTGTATGCCCTCAAAGGGACATTACGGCCAAAGGTCCGGTTTGGGAAACTGAGCTTATGTACAACGCCAGTAATGACTAACCGAAGAAAAAGCACGAGGTCCTAGTGAAGAGGATTGTACGCCCTCAAAGGGACATTATGCCCAAAGGTCCGGTTTGGGAAACTGAGCTTTTGTACAACGCTAGTACCCCCAAAAGGCCGAAGCTCTAGGCTAGGCTTGGGAAAGAAGGGGAGCATGACAAGGTCGACGTTGGACTTGTGCAGGGGAAAATCCATGCCCTTCACGGCCTTGCAAATGGCTAAAGTTAGAACTTGTGTGCTAGGTACCTGAATAGACTCAGGCTGTGGAATAGTGAATTGAGTTAGGTTCTCCAACCTCGCTCAACTCTATCATGCTCCCACTATCTCCACCAAGAATATATTCCTTCTCAAGGAACACTGCCCTCTTGACTACAAAGACCTTTTAGTCCTCGAGGTGATAGAAATAATATTCACAAGTTTTCATGGGTATCCCACGAATATGTATCGCTCCGTCTTGGATTCCAACTCATTAGGTTTGTGTCTCTTAACATAGGTAGGGCAGCCCCAAATCTTAACAATCTTAATATTGCACTTCTTCCCTTTTCATATTTCATATGGTGTAGACACTATCGACTTAGTTGGAACTCTGTTTAAAAGGTAAGCTGTGGACTCTAGGGTGTATTCCCAAAATGAGACGGGTAGGTCGGCAAAGCTCATCATGGACCGTACCATGTCTAATAGTGTGTGATTCCTTTTTTCTAATACAACATTGAGCTGAGGTATATAAGGATGTATCCATTGGGATAGAATACCACAATTCTCGAGGAATTAGGTGAACTCTGTACTTAAGCACTCACCTTCTCAATCTGATCGAAGAGTCTTGATACTCTTTCTAGTCTGGTTCTCTACTTCATTCTTATACTCCCTAAAATTTCTCGAAGGCTTTGGGCTTATACTTCATCAAGTATACGTGACCATACGTAGAAAAATCATCAATGAAAGTAATGAAGTAGGAGTGACCACCTATGACTTGGGTTGACATGGGACCATATACATCGCTATATATGAGTTCTAGTAACTTAGTGGCTCTCTCTCTAGTTCCACTAAATAGAAAGTTGGTTAGTTTTTCACGAAGACAAGGTTCGCAAGTTACATATGACTCGTAGTCGAATGGATATAAGTATCCATTCTTTAGTAACTTTTGAATCATTCTTTTATGGATATGACCTAGCCTACAAGTGTACATTGTTCACTTCATCTCATTTTCTCTTAGATACACTTACATTCATTATGTCGATTTGAAAATCTTCGTACGATAAAATTCGATTCCGACGAAAACTATTTCATTTTTCTTGAATGAGTAGAGAAGGGGGATTGGATAATTTGTAATGAAGTAAAGTTTAATGCAGTAAAGAAATTAAGCAGTAAGGAATGAACACATCAAAATTTATAGTGGTTCGATTATTGTGACCTACATCCACTTCCGATTCCTCCTCCGTTGAGGTCACCGATGTCCACTAATGGTCTTCCTTCAATAGGCGAAGACCAACCTCCTCTTTACAGTGCTTTCTTCTTTTCACAGATTTAGGAGATAATCCTTACAAGCCTCACACCTATTCTTGGATGATTACAAAGCTAAAGAGAGGGAGGAGGACTCTTCTCACTTTTACAACACTTTTAACACCCCAACACTTCAAGAGTTTTTCACACTTTGATTGTACTTTTGTTACCCTTTCATGCAGAAAAGGGTGGGATATTTATAGGCCTCAATGGCTTCAAAATTGGAGCAAAAAAGTATCTCATCCCAGATTTTCGGAGTATTGCCGGTACCACTGCTTGACACTCTGACACTGGATGGTACCATCGCCCAGTCTAGCGATACCACCGCCTAACAGGTAATAATTGTCGATGGTACCACCGCTCAATCTGGGCGGTACCATCGCCCAGACCACCTGGGAGACTGTTCCCTAGGCGGTTCCACCGCCCTAGTTTGGTGGTGCTATCGCCAAACAAGGTCTAGCAACTTGGTTGGGCCTTGAATCCGGCCCAAACCAGTCCAATTACGGGCCTAGTTGGCCCCTAACTGAGTTAGTTAGATTACCTCTCAAACCTAACCCTAATTACGTGCTAACTACGATTCTTAAGGCATACTCTAAGCAAATTAATTATAGTTAGTCTAGGTTTTTTTCGGTGAGCTTTTGGCGAACTTCTAACAATCTCTCGGTAATGTTCCAACGGACTCCCGGCAAGCTCCTAGACTTTACGACGATCTTCTTGGCGAGTTCCGACGAGCTTCTTTGGCAAGCTCTTGGACTTCTTGATCAATTCCGACAGAACTTTCGACGAATGTCCGGACTTCCGACGAACTCTCGAACTCACAATGAAATCTGGATCTTTCGACTCTGGTACTTTGTTTTGCTTTATGCCTTGATTACTATCGTAGTTAATCCTGCACACGTTTCTCAACATATAGATTTGATCAAATAATTTACTAATTGATTTCATAATCAAAATTCGAGATTCAACAATCTCCTCCTTTTTTTGATGACAATTAATTGATGACAAAGTTAACCTTAACTCCCCTTATCTATATGTCATACTTAGAGAGAAGACACTCTTGAATTCAAGGCATTTGAATTCAAGCATCAAACTAATAAGTTATATTCATTTAAACTTATCAACATGCACATCATGATACTTATCATGATTTACCAATTCAAAATACGATACCACGTATGTATCAATAAAAATGATGTCAAGGCATGACATCTATTTTCAAGTCCAATATAGTGAGATGATAGACAATCATCATTTTCAAGTATGATATGAATTTCAAATTGAAATTTAGCAAGATGACAATTCTCGATGTGAGATGACAATTCATCATTCCTAGGCATGATATCAATTGTACATAGCAAGTTAAGCTCATGATACCTTATCATAATGATAAACATTTATCAAGCATTCATGAAACATTTCAAGTATCTACGATACATATGATGCATATGTAATATATTTTGATATGTTTCAAGTATTTGCGATGTGTTATGATGTATTTGACGATTCCAATTGTATTAAGTGTGTTGCGATGTGTTACGATGTATTTGACGATTCCAATTGTATTTCAAGTGTGTTGCAATGTGTTGCGATGTATTTCTCCATCAACAAAAAGGAGAACTATTCAACAATGCAAGTGTGGTGGTAAAAAACTTCAAGCAAGTTCCACACCAGTTTATCCAAGTTAGCAAAAATGAGAAGAGAAGCAAAAACTTTGCATGATAACTACTTTTGAATAAGTTAACATTTTTACTTTGGATGCGCAAAAGCTTTTGATTCTTCTTGAGATGTGCAAGTTTCTTTCTTCCTTTGTCATAAAAAAATAAGAAAAAGAGGAAGAAGAGTAAGGAAGGAATCCATCAAGAACCATATTCATGAAAGGATTTGAACCAAGTCAAATGAGTTTCATTGAATCAAGCTTCTAGTTCAACAAGGAGAAGGGATTCAAGAAAATGATCAAGATATTCATACTAAATCAAATCTTCATTCTTGCAAGTGATCATCAGATACTAAAAATTCATAAAATTCTTCAATTATGAGAAGAGTAAGGAGGAATTCATGGGAAAGGAGCATCGTATGAAGGATAAAAAAATTTACGAATAAAACTTCATAAATCAAATCTGTTTCTCATTAAAAATTCACATGAGTGAAATCCGTGAGAGATGTTTTTGTCAATGAATTCCATGAGTGAAGGGACTAAGTGTATCAAAAATCATTAAGTGATGATGCAAGGGTATAAAATAAATTTGATACCAAGTAAATTGATATTCCAGATTTCATGAAAGTCTTATTTATGAAATGAAATAATTTCATAAAAACTTTATTTTAAAAATCAAGAAAATTCGAAAAAGATATACAACAAACTCATTCATTCGGACAATTTAACATTCCTAACTCTCTTTTAATCAAATCAAATTAATTTTCAATTAAAGGTTTTGTGAAGATATCGATTAATTGATGTTTTGTATCAATAAACTCTAAAGATATGTCATGGTTATTAACATGATCTCTTATGAAATAATGCCTAATGTTAATATGTTTAGTTTTAGAGTATTGAATAAGATTTTTTGCTAAACATATTGTACTTGTGTTATCACATTTTATGGGAATATTCTTAATGTGAATCTTATAATCTTCTAATATATTTTTTATCCATACAACTTGTGCACAACATGCATCAACTGTTATATATTCCACTTCGATTGTAGATAATGCAACTGAGTTTTGTTTCTTGAAAGACCAAGAAACAAGTGCATGACCTAATAATTGATACGTTCCGGATGTGTTTTTTCTATCTTCTCTACATCTAGCAAAATCCACATCAGCATAAGTAATTAATTCAAAGATTTCATATTTTGGATACCATAATCCTAAATCAGGGGTTCCTTTTATATATCTAAAAATTCTTTTAACTGCTTTAAGATGAGATAGCTTAGGATTAGATTAAAATCTAGCACAAAGTCCTACGCTAAACATGATGTCCGGTCTAATTGTAGTGAGGTATAGTAAACTACCTATCATACCTCTATAAATTTTTTGATCAAAGCTTTCTCCACTTTTGTTCATGTCTAACTTAGTGGAGGTACTCATAGGAGTATTGATAGCTTTTGAACCATACATATTAAACCATTTTAGCAATTCTAATGCATATTTGGTTTGACTAAGAGAAATACATCACTAAGTTGTTTGATTTGTAAGCCTAAAAAGAAAGTTAGTTTACTCATTAAACTCATCTCAAATTCTTGATTCATACTTTTAGCAAACGATTCGTATAAGGATTCATTTGTAAAATAAAAAATAATGTCATCAACATAAATTTGAATAACAAGAAAGTCATTTTCAAATTTTTTAATAAACAATGTAGTATTGACCTTGCTTTTAGAAAAATTATTTTGGATAAGAAAGGAGCTAAGTCTTTTATACCAAGCTCTCGAGGTTTGTTTTAATCCATAAAGAGCTTTAGTTAACTTAAACACATGATTAGAAAAAAAAAATTCTCAAATCTGGGTGGTTGTTTAACATACACTTCTTCGCAAATAAAGCCATTCAATAAAGCACTTTTAACATCCATTTGAAATAACTTAAAACTATTACTACTAGCATAGGCAATGAGCATCCTTATAGTTTATAATCGTGCCACAGCGAATGTTTCTTCATAATCGATACATTTTTTCTTGGTTGAAATCCTTCACCACTAATCTAGTCTTGTTTCTAACCACAATACCAAATTCATCTTGCTTGTTTCTAAAGACCCATTTAGTACCAATAACTAAATGGTCATTTGGCCTCAGAACAAGCTTCCATACCTCATTTCTCTTAAATTGGTTCAACTCTTCCTGTATTGCAATAACCCATGAATTATCTTTCAAGGCTTCGTCAATGCATTTTGATTCAATTTGAGAAAGAAAAGCGACGTTGGCATAAAAATTTTTAAGAGAAGAACGAGTTTGAATCTCTTTTGATGTATCTCATGTGATTAGCTCCTTAGGATGAACATCTATATACTTTCATACCTTGGGTAAGGATGTTTCGAAAGAAGATATATCCAAGTTGCTAGTTGGAGAAGAGAGTTTATTTAAATTTGAAGCATCAAAATTAAGATCATCATCAAACTCATTTTTCTTAAATTCGGAGACTTCATTAAAGACAACATAAATAAACTCTTCTATGACCAATGTTCTTTTATTAAAGACACAAAAGACTTTTGAAATAAAAGAATAATCAAGAAAAATACCTTTATCAGATTTTGTATTAAACTTTCTTAAGATATTTTTTTATTCAAGATAAAACATTTACAACCGAAATCTTTAAAGTGCGAAACATTAGGTTTTTTTGTTATTCCATAATTCATCATGAGTTTTGAAAAATAATGATTTTATTAGAATTTTATTCATGATATAACATGTGTTATTAACCACTTCGATCCTATTTGGATAGATTATGTTAGTTTGCTTAGTAATCAGAAGCAGGAGGAGCAGTCAAGTAGCCGTCTCCGGAGCCCGGTGTAGACCGATCTGGCCCTCGGCAGCTCTCGAGAGTCGAACTCTCCATTGGAGAAGACGCGCCAGGACTGGACAGAGTGCACGCAGGATGAGCTATCCAACCATCAGAGGGCCAAAACCTCCGCCATTTCCGACGTCGACGCCTTGAAGAGGCTGTTCAAGGGGCTCGTCGACAAGGTCAGCCGGCAACAGGAAGCAGCCTCTGCCATCGCTGTTGTTGTGATGCAGTTGAAGTCCGAGAGCAGGAAGCGGGCAGGCGGCGGAGCTAGAGGTGATTCCTGGCTCCTGTTCACCGGGCCTGGCAAGGTCGGCAAGTGGAAGATGGCAAACGCGCTGTCGGAGCTGGTGTTCGGAACTGGACCGACCACCGTTTGTTTCGGTGGCGCCGCCTCACGTACTGGCGGAGACGATGGAGGGCAAAACGTCAAGTCGCGTGGTAGGACTTCGATGGACCGGGTGGTGGAGGCCGTACCCCGGAATCCGTTCTCCGTGATAGTGCTCGAGGATGTAGATCAAGCAGATGGGCTCGTGAGAGGAAGAGTCGAGCGCTCGATGGAGCAGGGCCGGCTCGTCGACTCCTACGGCCGGGAAGTCAGCTTGGGAAGCGTATTTTTCATCCTCACCTCAAGCTGGCTACCGAAAGAGCTCAAGAGAACCCACGACTCCCTCATCCAATGCGAGGAGAAGATTCTGCAGTCGGCCGGCCACGGGTGGCGACTGCAGCTGTCAGCTCAGAGAACCCCCGGAACGCGCTGCTTCGATTGGCTTCGCGATAGTGATCGATCAGTGAAGCTGAGACGGCAGTCATCATCCGGCGGAGGCTTGTCGCTGGACCTAAACTTGGCAGTGAGCAGGGAGGACGAGGCCGGGGAGGGGTCGAGGAGCTTGAGCGACTTCACCATGGAGCACAAGCACAAGGGAAGCCTTGCCGCCAGGTGTTCGATGTCGCCCTCTGCCTTGGGGTTGATGGAATTGGTGGACAAAGCCATAGTTTTCAGGCTAGTCGACTTCGCGCCGCTGAGGAGAACCGTATCGGCCATAATGGGCTATGGAAGCTCACTAAAGATCGACGACGACGTCATCGACCGGGTTGTCGGTGGTATATGGGTAGGAAGAGCAGCATTCGATGAGTGGGCTGAGGGAGTACTGACGCCTTGCTTGCGGCAGTTGAAGTGCAGGTTGAGGGCAGATGACGTTGTGGCGGTCGTCCGGCTATCTGTGGTGAAAGGGGGTGGAGCGGCGACGAACGGCGACCAGGATTGGCTACCGGCGACGGTGGCGATCGCCGTCGATGAGCTGCAGAAGACGCCATGGACATGATCAAAGACTGTAGTTCCTTTTTGTTCTCTCCTTACTGCATATATAAGTTAAGACTGTATACTTTTGCGTCCATTCATCAAGAACACACTTGTGTTGGTTCTTCTGCTTGTGTTTGGGTCATCATCTGAGCATGAACACAGCACTCTAAACCGTGAATCCGGTGCTCTTGTGCTCGTAACTAAGAAATAACACATGACCTGGATCTAACTGCACGAGGAGTTGCCTGGACGAAGCGATGCAGGCAGTGACGGGAGGGAATTGTGTGAGGAGATGGAGTCAAAGCAAGGAAATGGCAGGGGGACAAGAGTCGAACACCTTGGCGACCTTTTTGCCTTTTGGCACATTAAGCACAGTCTGAGCTTTCGGGGTGGATGGCATTGAACTGCTTGGCACACATCCACCTCCCCATGAAGGAGGAGGGAAGGAGGTCATGTGAAAGCAGGGAGGAGGAGAGAAGAGATTGAAGTATTTTGAGGGTCAGAACCATATATATTACATAAAGAATATTATTTTTTGACCAAATTCAATTAGAATTGATATATTATATAAATATACATCGTAGGATTTTTATGGATTACACAATTCATGTTGGAAACACTCAGATAAATAATTTGAGTCGAAATTCTCTTGATCACGAGGACAAATAAATTTTTTTTTATTTGACATTAGCAAATATGAAATTTTATGCATCTTGTAATTGAAGTTAAATTCTATAATTTTCAAACTGAATATTATGCAGCATTGTGTACGTACGTATAAAAAGAATTTTTCTAAAGATTATATACATTATCTCGTCTCCGTTAATAATTTCACAAAATATTTAAAAATATGATAGGAATTCAAGACATAAATACAGTACATTTGCTGCTCAATTTCATTGCTTTATGAATAACATTTTTGGCATGTAAAGAATAGATAAATTCCAAATAAATATCCCATTCTCTCATCAAAAGAATAAGTGGGAGATCCGATAGCAGATAAAATTTCTCAACTATATGAGTAAATCTCTCTACTATGTTGAGGGTTCCTCTTCTATTGTAACTTTCTCTTCTGCTGCATTTCTACTGTAGCTTTCTCCTCTACTATAGCATTGCTGCAGCTTCTTCCTTTGCTACAGCATTGTTATAACTTTCTCCAAGCTTTCTCCTCTGCTGTAGCCGTCGCAGTCGCAGCTGTTGCCGTAAATCGCAACCGCAGCAGCGATATGCTCTTGCCCTACTCACGAAGCCTCTCGCTCGTAAACTATTTGCTTTGCATCGATCCAAGATTGGTATCCTTAACAAGAGCACCATCTTGCGGGGGCATGATAGCAGATAAGATTTTTCCAGAGGAAAATCTCTCTACTTTATTGAGGAAAATCCTCTATTCTATTGAGGAAAATCCTCCCTCATAATCTGTATAAATAGGAGAAGGACATGCATCAATAAAGCTTCTTCAATAATTCTTCTTATCTTCTATTCTTTCTAACAAGATCCATCTTCTCACTCTTCCTCCATTCATTAATGAGACGAAGTGTAAGCCAAGTCAACTGGATCACTCGGGAAGTCGACGAGTTGAACAGCGATGCATTGGCTTACACTGTGGTTGTCTCTAATTTGTCGGACGAAGTCGATGCGATTGAGCTTGAATCTGCAATTTATTTTATTTGAGACTGAAATAGGTGGCTGTCGTGTCGAAATTAGTTAGGTGACAAAAATTTAATTCGGATGTGATCTACAAAACTAGTGTTGACGAGGGTATATCGTGGTTCCAATGCGCAAGTGAGATGATTAGTTCAAATTAGAAACAAGTCTATCTCGATGTCTCTCTCTATTTATGACAAAAGGGAAGCATTATTCGAATTAAATTTATTTTGAAACATATGAAGATTGATTATTAGAGACTCGATGGTGATATGGCCAACGACATAGGTAGACTCTCTCTCTCTCTCTCTCTCTCCTGCTTTGATACACGAACAAACAATAGATAGAACCGCACACACACACACACACACACTCTCTCTCTCTCTCTCTCTCTCTCTCACAGGTGTGAAATAGTAATACACGCAGAACACTACTCACCTTGTGATGAACGTTTACCTCCAAGCATGTTTCATGTTTAGCTTCTTGAAAAGACTTCAGCTAACCAATGGTGATGTTTTGGTGGGATAAAAGATGAGGTATCGACCTGTCGACAGCCATCTTTGGGACTACATATACGTGCATGAAGTCATCATCAGCAATAGAATACGAGCTGCATGTTAATTCTTTGACGTGCATCAATTAAACGCATCAGTAGAAGTCATCTCCATCTTACTCCCACCTCATGAAACTATGTTCTTAATTCTTTTATGCAAGCATCATGGAGAAATATGCAAAGACGACAGAGGAAAAGTTTATGACAAATATATATAATTAAACGGGCTTTTGTCACACACACACCTTTGAGGTAGGTAATGGTTTCTCTTAATATGTGCGTAGGAAGCATAACATTGGGAAGCATAACACATCTTTGAGGTTTCATAATCTTACTCGATATTAATCATGTTAATATCTTTTTCTTCAGACACTTGCCATTTTCCATCTGCCATATGCAGCACTTCCTCCTATATTAAGCTTTTCCAATAAATGTTTGGCTCTCTGAACAAATTCTTCTCAATAATATTGAGATCACAATACCTGAATTTTATACATCACATCAACACAAGTAAATCTTGAGGCAAGCAAAACCTAAGAATTTACCGTCCTCATGGCTCAACTGGGCATAACACCGTCTCAGAAACATTTTCTGGGTGACTCTGTCAACTGGGATTGCTCGTTTCAACTCTAAAGCCACCTCTCAAATTCATGAAAACAATATAAATCATCACCAAAACCAATTCCAGATTTGGACTAAGATACATTCAGATTGCCAAACAAGAAGTCATGAATGCAGATGCACATATCAGAGGAATCTGGAGGAGAATTTAGCTATTCCGGTAGGAGTGGTATGCAAATCTCAACAGCCTTCTGATCCTCTCAGCCCAATCCACACCGAGGTAAGCATCCGACTATTCTGAGTCAGATGAGTCAGCTGTTTCAGATTGGCGGACGCTTCTCTTAGTTCTGCTGGACTTGACTGGATTGGATGATGCTTCACCGTCGAAGAGGATAACTTGTGACCTGGCTAATCTCTCCTCCAGCTCTTCTGTACTGAAGTCATCGGTGCCTCCGAGCTCATCAAAACCCACCTAGTGTGTATTTTGAAAGATTACATGTCAAACGTGCACGCATTCGCTGATATTCACTCATCAAATCGTGAAACTTAGCACTGCTTACCACATAATCCTCGACTTTGGCATTCTTTACAAGAGCGAGAGTCGGTAGTACGGCAATCCTGAGCTTCTCGGTCAAGAAGGGACTTTTCTCTGCATGAATTTTCAGAAAACGTGTCTCTATATGTTGCTTTGCTAGAACACTCAGATGCTTGTCCATCACCTGCAAGCATACACAATGACCAACTTCTTTTTATACTCAAGAAGACAATTTCCATAGAGAGAAGAGTATCACTAGTTTGAAGTGACAACAAACTAGATGGAAATCTCATGTCCGAACTCTATAAATATATAAATTATCACCCTTATCACCCCCAAAGTCCATCTTCCATGTGACCAAACACACCAGGTGAACCAAGCAGAAGTAGGACTTAAAGATTCTAATCTAATTAATACTATGTCATATCATGAGAACAATAAAACTCATATAGCAACTTATGGCACCAAAGAAAAAGACAATTATCAATTTTAAGCTTGGGGAACATTCATGCAACAAAAAAAAAAAAAGTTGCATCAAGCCCTGCCATATCTTCTCCTAATTTCCAAATATTAGTTGCATTATAGAATGATCGTTTCAAATTCTGTTTGTTCCTTAACAAGCAAAAAAACCTTTTTTTTTATCATGCCTGGTTCCAGAATGCCTACTCTGATTATGTGATGTATTTAAGCCTTGAGATCATATTTGTTTTGTCAGACAAAAAACCAGTTGAATGTGATAAATATGTAATAAGTTTTTACTCAAATAAAAGCCCCTTTCTTCTCATAGGTATCCTTCTTCCCCTGGTGTTTGAGAATTCTCTTTTCTTCTTTCCTTTTCTAAAAAATAAAACAAAAAACAAAAATTCACTCATTTCATCTTTTTCCCCCATCTCTTATTGCATATGTTTGTTTGCCATTCATTTGCTTTTTACCTCAAGACCTCTCCCTCTCACCCTTCCATATTCTCTTTACTTCTTGCTTCCCATCACATCCATTAATGGAAAACCAAAACAATATACACACTCCAAAAGAAGCCACTTAAATTATCCCTATGTTTCAAGCTTAAACCTTAGTTCTATCCATGTAATCCAAGATCCATCTATTTCAGTCTTCAAAACTGGTAGCAAATTTTCGTAAAATACAAAATTTAGGTAGTTGATCATCAAAATCATTGTACAACATACTCAGTGGCCAAGGAATAAAAGACTAGTCTGATTAATTCTACATAAGCAAAAGCAAATCTAAACCCACTCTAGATCAGCGTCAGGATATTGATATGAATTGGGCAATCTTGAAAAACAATGTCTCCTATTAAATTACCACTATCTGATGTTCAAATTATATCTGTGATAAATGACTGATACTAGTGGAAGCCATACTGCAATGCGTATGATCAATTAAAAACAACAAACAAATACACTCCCCAGAGGAATTCTGCCTAATTTTTCCCAATACTCCACTTCATCTCTATCTAAATCCTTAAAATTCAGATCCATCCATTTCAAACCACAATTTTTTTTCTGAAGTACACTCTTCAATGAAATAATCAGCAAAATCATGGGGAATCATATCATCTTGAAAAATCCCACAAAAAGGCAATACAAAGCTGTAAAAGTATAGAACCATGGTTAACGAGGCGACTGGGCATAGGAAGATCATGGGGATAGAGGACTACAGTCCTAGAAGTCAACCGGTGCATGATAGTAAAAAAATCTATTAGAAAGACAGCTGATCAAGTCGAAACACCAAGGATAGAAGAAAGATGCTAGGAAAACAACTTTATGCTAGGAATTCAAAGATGCTAGGTTCAAAACAATAACAGAGAAGATGCTATATTTTCACAAATGGTTATAAAATTGATTGACGAGTACTGATTTTGAGCAGTGGAATTATGCTGCATATGATACTTCCACAGAGGAACCAAAGAGTAGAGATCATGTTTTGAAAATTTCAAAGATCAAAGGCAAAAACAAAATGCAAGATTCTAATAACAACCAGGATTATAGGATGAAAAGCAACATAGTCATACAGGTCAGTTGTTCAGCCACAAGGGCATGAACTCATGTTGTCTGCCTTCTCATTTAGTGAGAAAACCCGAAAGGACTAAGCAATAAACCAGAAACTTTTGGCATCGCTAGTTTAATTGCTCATTAACAGTCTTATGTGGTAAGCAATGCATAAAAGAAAGTAGCATGTATTTACTAGTCTACTACCACGACCATACCTGTAGAAAACATGAGCAAATTCTACAGAGTTCAAGTATCACAGTTGATATTAGACATGTTTTTCTCACATTTGACATTGGTTCATTTAAGAAAAATCAATGCCCTATCAAACATTTGTTGTAGTATTGAAGAAATATATTGTCCGTGGCATCTCACTCAAGCTTATAAAGAACAAATGGTTTCATTGATCTACTAATTACCCAAATTAACAACAAAATTATACAGAAATGTTTAATTTGTGAGCAATTAGGCGTGCCAAGATAGGCAACTAAATGAGTGTTAATCAATTAACATGGTATGGATATGTTCAAAGGGAACCTATAAAAGTCAGGTGAGACGATTAGGAATAATGGCACAAAGAGAGGTAGAGAGAGGCCTTAGAAATGCTTATTAGCATTAAGAAAAGTAGATCTGAATGTTCCTCTACACAGAGATTAAGGGAAGGAAAAGATCCACGCAGCCGAGCCAAATAACATTTAATTATAGATCCGATTTTTTTGCAACTATTAATGCAGCAGATCTAAAGTATTTAATTTCTTCAAATGCAATGTTCTACTAACAACCATGATGAACATCGCAGGCAGCCTTCCTCACTGAATCACAACCTTTTCTTCCAGCGGCTCCCCACATCGCAAATTTAAGAAGGAAAAGCAAAACAAAATGACTACTTTGATGAACTATTATCGTGGGGATCTAGCAAAATACCTTGCAAGGCCAATTCTCGCGGTAGAAATGGCAGACGACGCGATCGCTGGCTTTGACGGCCGCGAAGAATTCCTTCTCGGGGATCTCAGAGTATTCGCCGTGGCCGAGTGAGATCCAGCGGCTCCGCTTCTCGGCCATCTTCTTCAGCTGCTGCAACCTGCGCTCCCGCAGGGCCTCGAGGTCGTCGAGGTCAAGTCGATCGATCGCCGCGATCTCGTCATCGAGCTTGTCCTCGACGGCCTTCGCCACCGTCAAAACTTGCTGCTCGATGATCTGGAAGAACCCCAGAAAACGATCACGATTCCTCCCCAAAAGAACGAAACATACTAACAAAATGAACATAGAGCGAGCGAAGAGAGATATGGCATTTGAGTTGTATCCCTCACCTGCTTCGCTTGGGTTGCGTCCATGACGGGATCCAATTCAAGCCCTAAGCTCTCGACGTCGGTGGTCGCCTAGGCAGAGAACACAAGACCATAAAAAACGCCCGAGAATGTGTCCGCTGCTCCTAAGCGTGACATGATCATGACCATCAACACTAATTTTGATGCAGTCTTCGTCGCCTATCAGGCTCGGGGATGGTAACGATGATCTTTTAAGTCGATCTCGATCATTCATAATCATGGGATCAATCTGGACTGTCCAATAAACGAACGCTGATGGCGGATCGTGAGCCTCACATCTCACATGATGAACGTGACCGATTCAGCTTCTTCCGAAAACCAATCATGACCGCTCATTCGATCATCACGGCTAACACCATGTTTAAGGACGAACAAGAATCCACATTTCATAGCCACATCAACGGGTCTGAAACCACCAACAAGAATATATATTTTTAGTTGATAAACCTAAGAATAATATTATTATTTATTTTCGAAATAGAAGATGATCGAACTATATATATATATATATATATAGTTCGATCATCTTCTATTTCGTACATAAATAATAAAATTAGGAATAATTTTATTAGCTAAAGCTAACCATCATATTATTAGTCATCTTTAATGAATTGATTGTATTCCTAACTTTTTCCAATATTATATAATCAATTAAGGT